CTCTGTGGGTTCCAGAGCTTCTCCAGCACTGGACCTGCAGATGACTCTGGATTTGTATGGGGAGTAGAAACGTTTGGGCTAAACAACTTTGATAACTACACAAGAAAGGGAAGAGGAGCAGCTGTTAGGTGAGAATTCATGGAGGAAAGATGTCCAAGTCTCATTGTTTTGTTTTGGGTGGGTTTTTGTTAGGAAAAAGCAGAACTATTTCTTCTTCTTGTGGTCCACCTGCATCAGCCTGGGAGCTCCAGTGTGTGGCACCATGCAGGACTTTGCATAGGGCCATTGCTCCAGCAGCAGCTTCCTGAGCACCCGCTGTCCGTGCAGGCTTCTCCTGCAAGTCAGAACACTCTAGTCCACAATAAACTCTTCTTATCTGAAAGATTGCTGTAGAGTAGCCCAGCAATGGCTGGATATCTTCAGTAGTAGCTAGTTCAGTCTATATACCTCCCTGCTGCCTCATGCCTTGCAGAGCTGGAGATAACCTAGAACATATCCTCCATTGCTACTCCTTCCTTAAAATATCCCCGCTACAGGTGGTTACACTCTTGAAGCATTGGTACGAGAGTGTTTGGGAGGAGATGACATCTCATGCAGACTAGTTGGTAGCAATCTGTCGGTGTTTGGGAGGAGATGACTAAATACATCTCATGCAGACTAGTTGGTAGCAATCTGTCTCCTTAAACCACTGATAGGACTTTTGCTGCTCCCTGAACTGATGGAGGGTCTATGTTTTGGGCCTTTCCAGCTCGGGCGTGCACTTCTCCCGTGTGTTGGCTGCTCTCTGCAACCAGTGGCTGCTGCTTCCTCCCATTGTGTCTCAGGTCGAGCTGCCTGAGTGGCTGCACGCTCAGGCTAAGAATAGTGCAGACCCCAGGGTTTTGGCCTCTGTATCCTGCACGTTGGCTCCTTTCCTGTCTGGGGCTTGGAAAAAGCCTGGGAAAGGGTGCGTCCTTCAAAATAGGCTAAAATGTGTTATTGGAGACTATGCTGCCTATAAATAACACGGAGGTTGGGCAGGGGAAGAGCTTCGGTTTCCTCCCTGGTACAGTAGCTCCGAACCCTCTTCTGCAAAGGCCAGAAATGAAGTCCTGACCCTCTTGCTAGTGCAACATTGCCCCCCACGATGGGCTTGACAGTAGGCAATTTAGCTAGCCCCGCTCTTAAAAGCAGGTAAGAGCGTAACTAGCGCTGGGCATTGCAGCCTTTATTTTTTGGTGGACCATTCACAAGTTAATACTCTTAACACTGCGGCACTTTCTCTGAGTGCTTTTAATATCAGGTTCATTTTCAGTGTCCATCCCGTGGGGCCTGTCGCTGAGCTCAGTGGGGTCAGGCTTGTGTCTCCAGTAAATCAAGTCCTAAAAGCTTTGTCTCTTGAGTCGACATCTCCTGTCCAAACCTCATCTTTTGAATCTTTTGGTTGATCAAGGTAAGATTTATCAAGACGAGGGCTTGACTCCCAGCCAAGCATAGCTAAGCTTCTCCTAGGGACATAAGTTTCCCCCTTTAATTTTGTAGAAACCTGTCTGTTTTGCTAATCAGCAGGTAGTTGCTACTGCAGCTAATTCTGCCTAAATTAGGGGGTTTATTTCCAAGAGGGGTAAAAGGCACCTGTGCTGATGCATCTGCAGCGGAGGTGTCTGGATGCCATGTGGGGTTGGGGGGGATGCAGGGAGGACAGCATTTTAAGCATTGGAAGGGGCTGCCCAGGGAAGGGGTCAAGTCCCCATCCCTGGAGGTATTTAAAAGCCGGGCAGATAAGGTGCTTAGGGACAGGGTTTAGTGGTGGGATGGTAGCGTTAGGTTAACGGTTGGACTTGATGATCTTAAAGGTCTTTTCCAGCCTAAATGATTCTACGATTCTATGACAGGACACTCCGGGCAGGAGTGCTCCACAGTCAATGGAGTGAGGAGCAGCACGAGGGAACAGGGTGGTTGCTGCTGTGCTTGTCTTAATTGATTATAATAATCAAAGCATTTGTTTAGAACCAGAAGTAGACTGTGGGACAGCATTGCTGCAGACTTGGGTAACTTCAGGGGATGTCCTGCACAGCTGTATGTGTCTAGGGCAGACAAAGCTGTCCCTTTTCTACTTCATCAAGAAAACGCCATAATAAATGTTATTACATTACTTATTACTTTGAAAAAATAAAAAGTGAGGATAGCTGTCACTGAGCTTTTATCTTCTAGTTTTCTGACTATTTACAGATCTATAATGAAAGACTCTCCTCCAAAACTTTTTTTTACATTTCACATATTTTTATTCAGTTGTCCAACTTCCACCCAGCCTGGTGGCCCTCAGGGAGTTTCAAGTCTATATAATCCGTATTGTCTTTGACTGAAGAGGAAGGGCCTGGGAGTGTTTTGTTTCCTGCCCTGCCCTTTCTCAGCCATGGGCAGGGGATGTCTCTCAAATTGTCACTCATCTTCCTTCCCTTTTGTTGAACTTCTTGGCTTTTTGTCTGCAGTAACTGGAGCCAAGTAGGGGGAGAGTGGTAACTTATGAGGACATCAGCCCAGGAGGCCAGGCTGTCATCTCGGTGGTGCTTTATGCCTGTTTAATGGGATAGACCTGGGTCCCCTTCTCCTGACTCTTCTAGGAGCATCCTTCCATCTGCCCAGCCTTTTCCTGACATGCTTTGGACCACGTGGCAAGTCTAAATGGTCACACGGTGCTTCACCTCCATGCTTCAGGTTGGGGCTCCATGATGCTTCCTTCGGTTGTTCTTGAGGGCCGCCTTTGCGTTGCCTTCAGGAAGGCTTCACTTCTACAGTGCACACTATTTGACTGTCGGCATCCACCCGCTTTACTGTTAATTGAAGTTTAAATGGAATAATTCAGGGCCAGATTGAAATAGGTTGAGTGCAGGGTTGGGTCCTGCAGGAGGAAGCTGGACAAGCAGTCTCTGTCTTCCTCTGTTTAGCAGCTTGTTTTTTCTTGGCACTTGCTGTAGCATCTTGTTCTGTTACAAGGACCCTCAGCCATGAACATGGGGTGTTCAGCTTTATTTGACCCGGAGTCTCCTATCAACCTGTGGTGTCTCTGCAGCAGCGGCATGCATGGCTGGGTCATTCTGCACCGTCAGAGGTAATCGACTTGACACCACTCCCAAATTTGCTGCTCTTCAGAGAACAAGTAGCTCTGCTCTGTGATAAAAGGGGCAACGCAGTAGGCACAGACTTTGACGCTAGCTGGGTCTCAAACACGCTGCAAACATCCAGTCTTTATGCCAGCAGTGGAGATGTGACTTGAGGCTGATTTCTCAAGCTTCCCCGCTTGAAGTTAACCCTGAAGCAATTTTTCCCAACCTGCTTTGAGGTTCACTGCTGCTTTTAGACTTCAAGGATTTGTCTGAAAGCTTGCCTGTACTTCCACTGGTGTTTTCTGCCTATTAGAAAGATTGGGGCAGCACGAGGGGGAGGAACCTAAAGGTTTGTGTGGGTTTTGCTTGCTTCATGTGTTACTAGGACTAGTTCCCTGCTTAGTGATGCTGTGGAGAGGCACCAAGTGAGACTGAGAGTCCCTACTGTGTGTGTACCGCATGCTCGCAAAGACTTAAATAGTGGTGAATAGCACATGGGTCCGTGAGGAGCAAATGCTTGCCAGAAAGCTGGGGGATCTGTGCTTTCCTGGCCTGTGGCGTGGTCCAGACTGCTGCCCTAACTAGGCTGGCAGGTATCTGGCAGGTTGGGAAGATGACTTGGCTATAGAGACACGCAGTCACATTGCTTCCTTGCAAAAGCCACCTTGCTTTACAAATGGGCAAAGCTGAGAAGAGAGGCAGACTTAAAATGATCAACGCTGCGGTCGGTAGCAATGTTGGGAAGGCAAATTCCTGATGTCTCCCGGTGTAGAACCGGTATCCATTAGTCTCATTTTTAATCTAGTTGGATGGGGGTTCTCTCCCATTTCGTGCAGCTCTGTGTGCACTAAACTCAATTTTTGATTGGTCATAAGTGCTAGAACTTAAGTATCGCATATCTCGTTTGCTTGATGTGTGCTTAGGCATGCACAACTTTTCTTAAAATAAAACTTAAGAGTGGACTGATCTGTCTGAACCATGGTAGCAAACCCATGCCTACAGCCAGTGGAAAATTGAGTTGACCCCAGCGAGCGGAGGCATGTTTTGAGAAGAGGAAAGGAGGCTTCAGCCTTTCTCCAACCACAGCCAGCTGAGCCAGTGGCCGTGCCCACCACGGCTTGGCTCTCTGCAGGGCTTGGGGACCCTTTGCAGTTGCTGCTCAGCCTGTCGTTCCAGAGCCCTGCTGTGCTCCCAAAGCACAAAAGCAGCAGTGCTGCTTCAAAGAGGACTTCATCAGCTCCTTGAGTTTTCAAAGACCTGGTGCTACTTTTATCTGGATTTAGCATCACCCCTAACCTCTGGGTCACAGCTACCGAAGAACTCTGCTGCCTGCTTGAGCTCTGGTAATCTTGGCTGGGTTTCTGGTTTAATTTGGAGACAGCCTGCTGCAGCTCTGCACAGTAAATGCACTATTAAGCAGTTAATTATTTCTCTATAATACTAGCTTTTATCTTTAATACAACAGTTTTACTGTCTCTGATAATTACACGGTCTCAGATAACTCTCTTAAATCTAATGAGGCATGACAAGCTGTGTTCAACAAGGCACCACACCATTAACTTCTTACCTCTTACTTGTCATCTTATCATGCTGAATTACTGTATTTCTAGCCTGAGTGGCTGTGGATACATAACGTGTCACTTCTCATTAAGACAATAATGAAAATCGTCCCCGGTGCTCTCGTGGCCGGGCTAGTGGTCAGCTGGCTGGTCCGGTGGCCTGCAGACCCCTCCAACAGCTTCTGTGCAGCATCATGCTCTTTGCCCCATGAGCTGAGCAAGCTCGTTAGGTTGGCTTTAAATACTTCTGGCTGCTCAAGCAGCTTGGTTGGTCCATGGGTCTCTTGCTTGTGGGTGGGTGAAATGCAAATGACCCTTTGAAGGGCATCAGAGATGATAGACCTCGTTTGTGCTGATGGAAGTCATTGCTGCAGGGATATCTTGTGGTGGGATTCAGCTGGATAAGGGGGGGGGGGGAAAGGCTTTGTTTTGGGTTTTTTTTTTTTCTGGATGGGGTAGGGGACAGATTGCTGCAGCAATGCCTGGTGTACCTTGACATGACTGCTGCTTCATTACTCTTTAATGGCAATAGCGGATCGGGTCATTGGAGTGCTGGTTTTCTGTGGATTTGAGAGTGGCACCAAAAACCCTTCATGTGCCTGGCTGCAGTCCTGGGGTTGGGGGGACTGTCTTTTCATACACCACCTTGCCAGTAAAAGTACAACGTTGTACTTCTGAAATGTCGAGCCTTCTTCTGGCAAGGAAGTTTCTGCATCCTTCCAGGATGGACCAGGAAAGCATTTCCCAGGGGAATAAGCCCAGGCTGTCCTTTGGGGCAGATGGTAGAGCTCCAGCCTTTACTGAGCCTGCCGCTGACTCTGCTCTTGCAGGTGGGATTGCTTCTGGTTCGAGGAGCCTGTATGAGTTGTGCTGTCAAAGCTGTGTGTTTCCCCACTGAGCAGGGGAGGAAAAAGCCTTGGTTCAGGTTATAACCTGAGTCATTCGGACTCCCTGTGGGTATTCTATGGGATGCCCATGGAACCAGCTACCATGGTGTGCCTGGGTTAGCTCAGTCCCTGGCTCTAAAAGGGCAGTTTTTACCTGGACAGAAGCTGTTACTTCTCCGCAGTTTCATTAACTAAAAGACTAAGCCCCAGGTGGAGTGTAAATCTGGGAAAAGAGCTGGATACTGAGTTGTGTTTAAAATTTGTGCTGGCCTTATCAGCAATGTCAGTGATCCAAAAAGGACCAGAGGAGTTGCCTGCGCCCTGTTCCTCGCACAGGCAGGAAGGAAACTCATGTCTGTAACAGCGCAGCTCCTTAGCCCACTGGAGAGCAGGCAGAAGCATGGACCTTGAATACTGTGTTCAGTTTTGGGCCCCTCACTACAAGACGGACATTGCGTTGCTGGAACATGTCCAGAGGAGAGCAACAAAGCTGGTGAGGGGTCTGGAGCCCAGGTCCGATGGGGAGTGGCTGAGGGACCTGGGAGTGTTCAGCTTGAAGAAGAGGAGGCTGAGGGGAGACCTTATCACTCCCTACAACTGCCTGAGAGGAGGGTGTAGTGAGGTGGGTGTTGGTCTCTTCTCCCAGGTAACGGGCAATGGGATGAGGGGAGATGGCCTCAAGTTGTGCCAGGGAAGGTTTAGGTTGGACATTGGGAAAAATTTCTTCCCCAAAAGGGTTGTCAAGCGCTGGAAGGGGCTCTCTGACAAACTAACTGGGACCCTTTGAGATGCTTCTGTGATGCTCAGACCCCGCTCTGAGCAACCTAGGTAAAAATCCAACTTGCTGTTATCTCCAGGTAATAACTAGAAAAAGCTCTGAGCAGCAACGGCAATAGATGGCGCCGGAGGGTTCCTTAGAGGAGGAGAGACCTGAATGGTTGCGAGGAGCAAACTCATCTACAGCCAGGGGGACTTCATTTAAAGAATCATAGAATAGTTTGGGTTGGAAGGGACCTTTAGAGCTCATCTAGTCCAACCCCCCTGCAGTGAGCAGGGACATCTTCAACCAGAGCAGGTTGCTCAGAGCCCCATCCAACCTGGCCTTGAATGGGGCTCAGACTACTGCTCCACAGTGGTAGCCAGTGGGCATGCAAAATGTTTTGCAATGCAATAAGGGTTTAATACTAGTTGGCACAAGCTTGGGGCCATGCCAGCTCTCAGGGGTTCGGGGCTTGGCACCGGTACCTTTATGCTGGAGATGTGTGCAAGGTCTTGCTTCCTTGAAGGTCCTCTGGTCCTGTTAGCTGTGAGGTTGGAGGTGGCTTTATTGCACTGCTGTGGCTCAAAAGCTTAACGGCCCCTTGGGCCATATCATTTCACTGTTGCTACCATAATTTCAATTTGCCTGGAAGACTTACCAGAGCTGGTAGGTAGTGGTGGACTCTCCCTAGCTTCCCTTGGGTCACCTCTCATCGCATGAAACAGCTGCTGCTGAAGGATGCCAGAGGCATGCACCTACCTCCCAAACACCTCCGCTGTTCATCCTGCTGACCTGTGGGTGCTTGTGCTGCCTCCAGTCACTTTGGAGCTGGGTCCTTTAGCTTTGCTCAGCTTTAGACTGGAAAATGCTGAGGGTCCTCCAGCTTTTTTTGACTACTTTTGCATTGAAGATCAGCATAGATCTTCATATACCCATTCATACCCACATGTATGAGTTCAGCTCTGCTGGCTAACATAACCTCTCTAATTTTCTTTGCAGTAAAACGATTTAAGGAACCAAAGGAAGAGAGGCGGCCCTGGAGGATATGGTGAGATTTTTAATTTGGAGCTTGAAAAGGCCATGTATCTGTAATATTATTTTCCTCTTACACCAACAGTCTTCTAGGCCCTCTGAATATCCTGCTTGGTATTTAGTCATTAAATTAAATGCTCTGCTGCTGCTTCCCAGGGAAACTCCATAAAGTAGCTGGTGCTCCCTAGAAGTCAAATTCCCTGCCTAGCTCCTCCAGAAAAGCTTGTTTTTACTATAGATGACTGAACTGAGAGGTTATGGTCCTCTCCAGTTGTCTGGCATACCTGCACATGGGCTGTCTCCCAGGCAGGGTCAAGTTTTGTTCATAAATTCGATTAATCACTTTGGTGTCCCCTGACTCAGCTCAGGCATAGACCAGGCAACGCGTTTGGCTGTGTGTTGATGTAAGGTAGCTGGGCGTTGCTGTTGGCTTCGGACACCTCTACAAAGCATCTCTGTATTGTAGGATTTACTGGCTGCCAAGAGGTGGGCGTATGGGTGGGCTCAGCATACGGATGGACGGGCTGGCTTGGCAGCACAGAGCCAAATGATTTCATTAGCGATGAAAAACCTGTTGGTCTTCTCAGTTTGGTTCTTCCTCTAAAATAATTTGGGAATTCACTGTGTTCAGTGTTGGGCCCCTCCCTCCAAGAAGGACGTTGTGTTGCTGGAGCGTGTCCAGAGAAGGGCAATGGAGCTGGTGAGGGGTCTGGAGCCCAAGGCCGATGGGGAGCGGCTGGGGGCACTGGGGGTGTTCAGCCTGGAGAATAGGAGGCTGGGGGGAGCCCCTCAACTGCCTGAGAGGAGGGTGTAGTGAGGTGGGTGTTGGTCTCTTCTCCCAGGTAACGGGTGATGGGATGAGGGAAAATGGCCTCAAGTTGTGCCAGTGAAGGTTTAGGTTGGACATTGGGAAAAATTCCTTCCCCAAAAGGGTTATCAGGCACTTAGGGGAACGGCTGGACTTGATGATCTTAAAGGTCTTTACCAACCTAAACGATTCTATGATTCTATAAGATTCGTAAGTAGCTGAACACCTTTGCTGTGCCTGCTGCTGGTTGGAGAAACTGAGGCCTGGCTGGGCACTGGAGGGTGAACTGCCCTTCGCTGCAGGCTGAATCTCAGCAGCAAGTGTTAGCTGTGGAGCCGCAAGACTGAGCTGCAACATGCTGAACTGTTGTCTTTTTTTTTTTCATATTTGGAGTCAGCTAAACTGTCCATTTTCACCATGTACAACTTCTTGCGCATCAGGAATGCATCTTGGGAGGAAAGTAGATCCATGCAGGACCTTCACTTTGGTGACTGCTGGGCTGCTGGTGCTCCAGGGCACGGATCCTTACACCACCTTTTCTTTCTCCAGGTTTTACGATACCTCCAAGCAAGCAATAGGTGCCCTTTTCATCCACTTTGCCAATGTTTTTCTGTCGGATCTCACTGAAGAGGACCCTTGCTCTCTGTAAGTATGCAAGGTGCTTGAATTCACATCCCCCATCTGTAAAAGGAGGAAGCAAGCCTGTTGGAAAATGTCATATACGGTAGAAACTGATCCTTTTAAAGTACTAGGTGGGGATAAACCATGCTGAGCTTGTTTTCAGGGTCTGGTTGGTCTCCTGGTCTTTGAGGTCTCCTGGTCTGATAGAGATGAAGCGGCAGGACTGATTTTTTCTGAGGACAAAAAGTACCTTGAAATATACTGGCAAAATCTGCATTAAATAACGTAGTGGTGCCCCATGCAGTTGCAACCATTAAATGTGCTGCTTGCCTGCACACCAGGCTCTGCAGTTTGGCTGGCCTCGGAGCAATATTGGGAATGCTTTCCTAACTGGGGGGGTGAAGGCCTTCATCCAGTGTTAGGACTTTTTTTTTTTTTTTTTTTTGGATATTCAGTGGCACCTACCACATGTAGTCCTGTCTGGGGGCTTTCTAAGCCAGACTTCAAACTTAATGGAGAAGTGCCACCTTTACCTCAGACCAGCCACTTTGCAGCTACAAATTTAGTTTCAGGAGTAACTTTATCCTGTTTTGAGAAGCTCCTCTAAGCTTTAAAATGCTGCTGAAAACCTTCTGGCCTGTCTCCTTTTTATTCAATCATCATGTTTTGGGTTGGAAGGGACCCCTAGAGGTCACCCAGTCCAACCCCCCTGCAGCAAGCAGTGACACCTTTAACCAGATCAGGTTGCTCGCAGCCCCGTCCAACCTGGCCTGGAATGTTTCCAGGGATGGGGCCGCCACCACCTCTCTGGGCAACCCCTGCCAGGGTTTCACCACCCTCATTGTAAAGAATTTCTTCCTTATATTCCTTAATATATTGAGTGCTGCGCCTTGGCATGTGTCTTTAAACAGACATGAGTTTGGGGCTAAATATAACCTCTAATGTGATTCATCGTTGGTTTTTAAACAGATGCTGTTTTTAAAATAAACCATTTTGTGCTTAATGCTGTGCTCTTCAGGGTTTGTTTTTTTTTTTTCTTAATGCGTGCTTCACATTCTCCTGTGCTGCCTGACTTGTCACCCTGAACCAGGCAGCTTAAAACTCTAAAGCTCTGTCTCTGGGCTTTGAGGCTTGTAAGCTGCCTGTCCTGCCCAGTATAAACCACTAGAGTCCCATGTTTGTGTCCGACTACTCTGGCTTCAGCAGCTGGAAACTGTAGTAAGTTAGTCTGAGCCTTTGGAGGTAGAAAAACTTAATGTCATGTTTTCAAAATGGATATCAAAACCAGATTGATGTTTTCAGGTTCTTTATTCAGAGGCAGCATCAAGTTCTGGAAAAGGAAATGTTCGTTCCTGTAGCTCTGTGCTTGGTATTTTCTTCATGCTGTAGAAATCTGGCCTGACCTAGCAGGAATTATTCCAGTAACAGAAAACTGGCTAGAAAACATTAGTCTGAGTGATATTTTTTTTTTTTTTTTTGTCTCTGGAGTTCATTAAAATACCAAGCCCTGGATTAGGGCTTGGACCCTGCAATCCCCAGAAGGTCCCTGCAGGTCTCCTGCCTCTGGCACTCTGTCCAGCAAGGCTTAAATATCCAAAGCTGCAGAGCAAACCCATCAGGCCCAAATCTCCTGGTGGGGATGGGTTCAGCTCCTTAATCTGCAGTGGGGACCCTGAACCAGAGGATTTTGGGGACCCCAGGATGCCACTTGTTGAGCCAGGGCTTGTTGCCTCTCCCAAGACTTTCTGCATCTCTGCTCATAGGAGCCTCTTGCAGCTGCTCAGTAAAATGGACTTTTTGCCTCTTCTGCTGCACAGTTTTGCAGAGCAGCTGTGGTGTCCAAGAAGCTTCCAGTCTCTTGTATGAAATTCCAACAAATATTTGGTTCCATTTCCCTGAAACGTGGGATTTCATCCTAATAAGAACAAAAGATGCTGCAAATGGAAAGCCTCCTTTTTGGGGGTGACTCTTAAGCAAGGCTAGCCCAGGAGTATTTAATGCTGTATCTATAAATGAGCAATGCCAGAGAGCTGATGGAGCCTGCTCCCTTCTCTGCTGAACGGGCTTTTAAACTAAGAAATTGCTGGTAAGGCTGTAGGTAAATCCAATAAAAGAGAAAGGAAGTGAGCTTGGACTTTTAAGTAGGGATTTTTGAAATGTTGGGGGAGTGGGGTACAGATTCCCTTAATGAAACAAGAGATTTTGAATATGACTTAAGAACACAACCGAAACATGAATTTTCCTCTGCTCTTAGCTACCTTATTAATTTCCTCCTTGATGCCACGCTGGGAATGCTGCTGATCTGGCTTGGTGTGAAAGTTGTCTCCTGGGTCGTGCAGCGTCAGAAGTACACGTACCTGGTCTTCGGAGAATACGGTAGGTGTCAACCATGCTGCGCGAAGGTGGCTTGTAGGAAAAAAGGCAGGAACTACAGCCTGGGGGGATAAAACACATGAGCAGCCTGCTTCTGTTCCCCCTTCTCCCAGGAGCTCACAGTGCTTGGCGTGTTAAATGCTGGGACATCACCAGGTTGCAGGTAACTCTGCCTCCTGCCTCGCCGAGCACCCTTGGGCACAGCAGGTTGGGGATGAAAGGCTGAACGTTTCCTTGGGTGGATTTATATCCCAGGAGATGTGTACGATAAACTAAGGTGTTTGGGAATGGTGGTGGTGATTTTTTTTTTTGTGGGATTCTTTTGGTGTTTTTTCCTAGCTTCTCAATTGAAAACATGGAGTTCTTCTTGCGTTTGCCTTGAGCTGTAGTAGGCATCAGCAGGACACAGCGTGGCCCCCAAACTGAGTTCTCAAATGACTCGTGGGGGTTTGTGGGTGATTTTTTTTTTCTTTTTACCAGCTGATTTCTAAAAAAAAAAAAAGTTAAGTATGCTTTGAGATGGAGAAAAAGGTTCAGAAAAGCTTTTCTCAGCCAGCCCCACTAGAGGGTAGTACTTCTCTTCAGAAAGAGTGGAGCCAGCTTCTGGGAGAACAGCGCTTTTCTGTTGCTGCAGGAAAGGGAAAAAATTAGCCTTTTTGCCTATTTTTAAGTTGTGTCTAATATAAAGATGAATTCAGTCTTTCGAAAATACATCCTATTCGTACCAATCGCTCTCCCACCTTTAAGACCTTAATCATTAAGTCTGTTCTGAAGGTAGTCTCATTCCTCTGTATTTTTAGTAGCTGGGCTAATAACTGAGGCAGAACTTAGACCAAACTGGGATTCGTGCAGCGGTCCCGCTGACTCGGGAGCTCTTCCTTGGGATCACGTTCAGAGTGTGTAAATGGGTCATGGCACAGGATGAAGGCAAGGGCTGGGTTGGTGAGAAAAGAGAAGCAGCTACAGAGTTGGAATGAGATGACAACAGATGGGTTGAAATGATGGGACGTGGCAGGGCTGGCTCTCATCAAACCTGAGAGTGGCTTTAAAGGTTGCAGTGGTTTCCGGAGCAGGTTCAGCATCCTGACAGCATGCATTTGGTGGGGACTATTCTCCCACACCCCCCCCATGGCTCTTTCTCAGAGCTAAAGAGCCAAGCACAGAGTGCTAAAGCCATTCAGGTGAAACAGCAGAGGGAATCCAGATGTTCTTGGTTCAGGGACTGGCATTTTTCCCCTCCTGAGCAGCAAGGACTTGAAGTCCAACCACAGCCATCCCAGGACACAACTTCATGCGCCACGTCTGCAGTTGAGCAGAAGCAAGGAAATGTTGACATGCATTGACAGCTTGCTTTAACCTTGTAGAGCAGTAATGAACTTCTGTTGAGCTGTCGCTGGCCCCTCATGAAGGCTGGCTTAGACCACAGAAACAGCTCACTCCTCTGACGAAATCTTGCTTTCATTAATAAAAAAAAGTTTCTGCTGTTGCTTGAATTTAGCTCTTGAATGGGGGATTAAGTATCTCCTCCACTGAGCACTGCTCTTGGTGCAGGTCTCTGGCCAGCGTGACCACGATGGAAAGTTAGGAAGGAGTCAAGTGGCATGTCCCATGCAATCGTGCTGCAGGGCTAGGGCAGCAAAACACTGCTACCCTCATCTCAGGGGTTAAGTAACTTCCAGAACAGTTTGGAAGGTGCTAGTAAACTTTTGTACGATTTGGTATAGGCTCCAGAAAAATGATTCATTTTCTGGTCTAATTGCTGTACCAGACATCATGTTTCTTTCGTCAATTCTCCTGAGGAGCAAAAGCATCTCTTGCAATCCTGCAGAGGAGGAAGGGCAGGAAAGCACCGAATCCACGTTGCAGACAGTGGTGAGTGCTGTTGCTCCAACCATCAGGAAAGAACGGTTGCGTCTCTGTCCAGTATAGCCAGTACCCATCTACCTGCATCGTCATCGAGGGGTGGGGAGGGTGGAATCTGTTGCAACTGCTTCCTTTCTGACCCTCCAGCTCTTGGTTACATCCCTGCAACTGATGCAAACCACTGCAGTTATGCGTTGGTTTGGGCTCCAGCGGTCCCTTCTCCTCTACTGTTGGTACGCCCCTCTCCACAGCCCCGGGTGGTTCTCCCTGTGTGACTGCAATAGCTGAGTGAATGGAGAAGTAAGGAAAGGGGAAGGGAAGGCACCTAAATCTGTGCTGCTATTTCAAGCATCCAGCTGTCCAGAACAGTTTAAAAAAATCAATTACTTCCATATTTAAAAAAAAAAAAGGAGACGCCCGTTCTGAGATCAGCCTCTCTTTGTGTCTAAGCTCTTGGCCAAAACCTGCTGCAGCCAGGAATGACCTGATTTTTAGCTAGTAGAGAGTCCTATACGCTTATGTTCCTCGGTATTTGCCCAACAGCTCTCTATTACTCTTTGGACTGCATCTGAGCACAGGAAACAGCATTTTTAAAAGGCTGTTGTCTCTTCTGCAGATGCTCGGCTCCTAAGATCAAAGATTGGAGGGGTTTATTCTTCATCTTGGTTCAAGTAGACTTTGGAGAATGATGGTTGCCTTACACATCCTCAAAGCTAACAAACTCCACGAATGCGCTGTGCACCATTGCTCTAGCAGGGTAGCAGCAGGCCGTGTCTATAGGTGCTCTCCCCCATAGGGGACTTCTGCAGGGAGGAGAGCAGAGTTTAAGCTGCAGAGGATGTGGATACCTAAGGTCTTGGAGGTGCTGCTGGGTCTGTTCAGGCTGAGTAGGGGAAATGGTGGCTGGAGTCGGAGCGTGAAGGTGAATCCTGGTTCAGCTTTCTGCTGCTCCAGCCCTCTTCTCCTTCCCCCTTTCCCATGGCAGTAAGCAGCTCCCTACAGGGAACCTGGATGGGCTGCAGTGTCCTGGCATTATAGTTGTGTGTAATAACTCTAAAGTATTACTTTAGAAATGCTGGAGTATTTCTTTTAGGTCAGCAAATGCTATGAATTTGCATTGAGAGATCGTTTCTGCGACGTGCAAGCAAAATGCTGAAGAGGAGCATTAAGAAAAGATGGGGAGGTGAAGAGGGTGTTCTTGCTTGAAAATACCTCTCTGATGCCCATCTGGATGCTGACTAGTGGGTGACTGGTTGCAGTCACTGACTAGTCTAAACGTGATGCTTTGTGCTCATTCACTGGCTGGAAATGGAAAGGCATGTTGCTGGGAGGCCTTTAAAGTCTGTTTAGTGGCCTGTTGAACTCTGCTGGTCAAATTTAGTTATAGGAGCATATGTTCTGTGCCAGCTGCTGAGTTTAACTGAGGACCTGTGTAGGCTGCTTTTTGGCCCCGTTGTGATGTTGTGCAAAATTTCCATAACAAATATTCCCACATCCTGAAGCAGCCAAGGGAGCTGGCTGCTAATGCTTGAGGAAATACGGCTGAAAATAGCTCTAACCTGAGGGGCTGTCCTGTCGTCAGCACGCTTGGCCTTTCTACCTCCAGGACCGAGGAGAAAAAGTAAGGAGAGGACTGAGGATCATCCTCAAATGGTGAAGTGTGCCTTCAGGGGCCCTGCTCTGAGCAGGGCTGCAAACCTTTGAACCCTCCTGGACCTGGCTGATAGCAGCGGTGTTTACCCCAAGGCAATAGCAGCATCTCCAGGGACCGAAGACCCAGGGCAGTGGTGCCACTCTGCAAACCAGGGTCTGATCCCAGCTGTGCACTCACTTTTCGTTCAGGTGCAGAACATGCCAGAGAGGGCCCGGGATGTCCACTAGACCCATCTGGCTGCTCTGCTCGCCAGAGAGGGCCTGGGATGTCCACTAGACCCATCTGGCTGCTCTGCTGTGTCAGGTCCCAATCTCTGAAAACCTGTTCTTGCCCTCAAAGTGAGCACTTCTGTGCAATTCAGATGCTTTACTGCTCTGTACTTGGCGCTGATAATTAGATCCCTTGGTTTTGGAAGTACCATTGGAGTATCTTTTCAGAGGTTTTCGTTCACTTTTTCTATCCCTACCATGTCGCCTAGTAGGACTTTCAGTGCTTTCAAATATTTGCTTTTCCTCAACCCCCCTGGACCCTCCACTTTGGCTGTGGTTAAGCTTTTTCCTACCTGCTCAGTGCACACACGGTCCCCAAAAGACTGTAAATAAAGCTGTCTGGCAGTAACACGTGGGCTGTGCTGACAGCTTAGTACATTAGACAGCCTGGATTAAAACTAATCCTGTTGTGTGGTAACAACCCAAATACCTCAAGCAGCGCTGCTTTTGCTCTGCGAGCAGTTGGGCTCCCACGCACAAGTGGAATATGTGAGACGTGTTTGCGTGAGGTTGCTGCAGGCACCAGTGCTCCTGGGTCTGCACCAAGGAAGCTTTGCTGATGGTGGGGAGCACCAGCAACGCTGCCAGAGGAGGACAGTCTAAAATGCAGTGTGTGCATCCTTCGGGGTGAAGGTGAAAGAGGGATATTTATTTCTGTCAGGGTGGGAGATGGCTGTAAGAAGGTTTGAGCAAAGGGTGTTCGTCGAGCTAAAAGGAGAGGTTGGTGGTAGAGTCAATATGTAGAGCTGGGATGCCCTGGGTTACCTTCCAGCCAGGACTGGGGACAAGAAAGCGGAACTGTTCAAAGGGTGCATGATACATGCAATCTCCCAAGAGCTGTGGTGTGGAGGCTGCAATGATTCTTTGGACTGGTTCCCCACTCTCCTACAAGGAAAGAGAAGCTCTGAACACAGGAACGAGGAGGGCATGGGTTTGTTTTTTCTTTTTTAAGCCTCCAGGTAGCAGATTGGGTTTTGTTGGCTGGCAATATTGTGTGGCAGAAACAGTCTTGTAGGCGCTCACCTAGATTTATGTAATGGAAATGCTTCATGTAAGAAGAATCCTCTCCCATCCATGGAGCAAGGCACTTCTGGACAGCACTTGATCCATTAAAGACATTAAGTTGCATCTGAGGATGCCTCTGATCATCTCACTATAGGCAGCCAGCACCTAAATGAGGTGTCTGGTTAGCTGGGATCGGCTCAAGTTTTCCAACCTTGCTTCCTAACTGTGAAAGGAGGAGATGTGGCCAATCTGTCTTATGGGCTTGTACACGGACCACACAAAAGGCTTCCTCTTCCCTGATGAGATGCCAGTAGATGGTGACACATACGTTACTGGCATTAGCCGGAGTTAGATGAATTTAGTGGTGAGGTGGATTTGGATGACAGACACTCTGAGGTGGATTAATGGTCCTCGGATGAGTTCAAACTTGCTGAGGTACGGACCAGCCAGCTGAGCTCCTTGGTGAAAAGAAAACGAGCCACTATCTATTTATAGCTGAAGTTGTCCTTGCAGCCCTTTGGGCCATGCTGCTGTTTCATTTTCATCTTTGTCCTAAGTTATTTTGATATAGAGCAGCCTTCAGTCCTTGGGGGACCAAGATGCATTGAAAAGTAACTGTGGTGGCACCCTCTGATCTTCCCATCAGGGGTGGAAATTAAGTTCTGTCTAATTCTGTGCTCCAGGATGGATTCCTGTACAGAAACATCTCATCCCATAGTCTGAAAACAAAGCTCAGAATGGAAAAGGAGGAGGAAGAGGTTGCAAAAGAGTAGTGATTTTGAGCTGCTTAAGGTGATGGAGCAGACAGCCAGATCTGGCTTCTGCATAGGTCTGTGGGTCTCTTTCCATATCCTTCCACTGTCTATCCTGGGCATATAAGAAGTGCTGATGTCCCTCAAACTGTGGAGGAGATTTGCAGCATCTTCTGTAGGTGGTGCAGAAAAGACCAGGGTGAGAAATATGAATATTTGAAGCTGAATGCTGTGATGGAGGGACCTTTGACAAGGTGGGATGTGGTGGGTAGTGAGGGGTGCAGGTCTGTCCTGCTTGGTGTAGTGCAGGCTTGCTGTACCACTTGCACATGCCCTGTACACTTAGCCATGAGGCTGGCCTAACTGGGACAGACCCCTGGACTTGGAGAGCTGGGCTTCCCTAGGTGGGATCCTACAGTAAACAGTAAAAACTGACAAAGGGAGAAAAGGTTTTTCTTTTCCAAAGGTTGTCACACCTCAAGAAAACTCAAGAGCAATGTGGTAGCTTTCTTATGAACTCAAAATGAAGGGACTATTTTTTGACTGAGGAGCTGTTAACCCTGGAGGCATGGGCAAGTCCATGCTGAGGGTGGGTTAAGCAGCAGGTTGTCTTTTCTAGTGTCTGTGTATCAGCCTGGCTAGCCAAAACCTGGCTAGGCCTGTCTAGTGCACAGTATATAAAACTAAGAACCATAGCCCACTGTTTGTGATGATGAAAGGCAGTGACCGCGTGTCCCCAAAAGGGTGGTGGGGGCAGGTGTTTAGGAGAGAGCTCAAACTTGCTGCTGCTTTTTGGGCAAGCTGAGATGACTAGGGGGAAACGTTCCGCAAGTGCAGCGTAGAAGGATGCTGCTTGCAAAGGACGCCTTGTGAAGGATGCTGTGGCTGTTCGTCCCCCGATGGATATGTTTGTTTTCCTGGTTTGTTTGTACTCGGAGCTCTGATGGGTGATGGTAACCTGGGGGTTTGTAGGAGAACTGGTCAGTCGTGGGGTATGGGGCAAAAAGCCCCACTGAACCTAACCTGTGCCAAAGACAACCAGGCACCCGAGTCTATCGGGAGAGGCTGTCTGTGCTTCAGGAGGATCAAAGCCTCTCTGACACCCGCCTGTAATTGCCTGCTGCCTGTAACACTGCTCCAGTCTCCTCCATGGACCACCCATTAAGCTGCTGCCTGCCAGGGAGCGGAGACGTGCGCTTTGTGAAATCCTCTGTGGGCTCTGCTGGTTGCACTCGCACGTAACCTTCCTGGCTCCCTCTTCCTTCCCCCCCATCCCCTCCGTGCAGTTGCCTGCCGGTCTGGTGCTCTCTGCTTGCCGTCCTCCCAGCTTGGCAGCCTCTCTGCACCCCTGGACTCCCAGTCCCTCCCTCTCCCGTCCTTTGCTTCCTTCTCGATCCCGGCTCGAGCAATTAAAAAGCTGGGATGCAAGGTGATAGCTCCAAGGTCTCTGGCATGGAGGCACTGGCTGGGTGCCTCTCCTTCTTAGCTGTAGCTTTGCAAGGAGGCAAATGTCTCAGTACGTCGCTAGCAAATGACAGAATAAGGACAAATGCACATGCAAACCTGTTTTGCCCTTGCTGGGAAGCAGATCCCCCCCACCTAGAGCTGGGCTTGGTGCTCCTACTAAAATCCTGGTATGAGCTGCTGGTCTCTGTGGCCAGAGGTTTGCACAGTGTTTTGGATAAATGTGGTTTAGCAAACTGCTGGTGTGGTCTTCCCCTGCCACCTCTCAACAGTGTCATGCTGAGAAAAGTGGGGCAGAGCTCCCAGCCTGCTGCCATCAGACAGCGTGTCGAGCATCTGCATCTCAGGATGGGTCGGTTTCTCTTGCACAGATGCAATTCCAAATTCTGGACCGATTATGCTGGAAGTGAGTGTTGCCAGGGGTTATCTTTATATTCCAGTGGTAAGAGGAAACGCTGCAGCTTTCCTAAGCCAGACACTGTAGCTCAGTTTTGCAGACCTGAGATATTCTGGTGAGCCTGGGAAGATGATAACCAGCTGGCAGGGTGCTTACAGAGGGCTGAAGCCAGCACATGTAATAGATATGGTGCCATTATCGTTGTTAACAATACAAATATGCTTTTACTTATTACTTGGTGAGTACCCCATTGGAAACATTCATATTTAATTATCATTGATTCTTTTTGAGTGAATTGGTCTAAAACCTGGGGTGATGGAGCCCCTGGCTCTTGCTCAGGTGGCGAGTATCACATAATCAGCTGTTCACCTCGTCAGCAAAAAAAAATAATTCTGTTTAGGACTGAAAATTTATGCTGCTTTTACTGAAAATGGTGACCAGGAATTTTCAGACTATTGCTGGCAACTGGGTGCGTGAGGCTCATCCGGGAGCAAATTGCAGATGATGTCTTTAATGATATTAATTTTTTTTATAGAGGAGTGTGCAGGGTACTTGACTGGTCCTTGTAGAGGGGAGGGTCAGTCGAGCAGTATCTTGTCTTGGATTGCTATTGGGATTAGCTTTAATTGAGAAGGGGTTATTAGTCGTCTTCTGGTCAAAATGCTCCAGGAATTTGTGAGCTACTCCTACAAGGGTAGCAAAGAAGGGCAAACCAAATGACTGATGCCCCAAAGCAACACATGCTTGTAAGGAACCCTTTGAGTAGGATGCTGAGATTTCTGAGCTTTCAGGCTTTCCCTATATAAAGGATTTTAGTGCTCTGTGCTTTGAGGAGATGGGATACTTGCCCACTTGCACAAGCAGGGCTTCCTCCCCTCGAATCCCTGTATCCATCCAGATCAAAGTAGCCCAGCACTGTGGGGAGGATACTGGCAATGCCCATCAGTGGCTGGTGGAGAGGGAAAACATGGAGCCTCTCCAAGGCTGTGTATCCTTAACTCCAAGTGGAGGACAACATGGTTGTTATCCAAACCAAGATGCATAAAAGTTGATCCAGTCTCCTTAGAGTTACCAGGAACAGCTTTTCCATTAAGCACTTGTGATACTACTGGGCTGTGGCTCTTGGGAGCCCAGGGGTGTCTGCAAGTGCTGGGGTTGATGGATAAACACAGGGAGTTTCGGGTCTTCGGGCAGAGCCAGAGCTGTGCATCTCCCCTTTTGCAGAAGCTGCCTGCCTGCCTTGTAGCACACTTGCAGGACTTCTGCTCCAGCAAAGCTGTTGATCTAGAAAGGATGGGCAATGGGGGAGGAGATGCAAAGCAAGAAAGGTTTTGGTGGTGGGTTTCTCCTCTTGGTGGATTTTGGAGGCAGGTTGGTGGAACGGAGAGCAGGACAGGAGGCAGATAAATACACATAGTGTTAGAATCTGCAGGCTAGGCAGGTAGGGCTTTTTGAGTTGTGTCTGAAACTTGTTAGTTGCTTGCCCTTCGGATTAACCAGAGGTCTGCTTAATTGCCATCTCCATTTCAGAATCAGCCCTAAAAGGAGTAAAAAAAGAGAAGCAGCTTGTAGAACCAAAAGGCCGGTGGTAGTGGTGTATGTCATTTATTGCCAGGCAGAGCTCTCTTGCTTAATTTTGATGCCGAATTTAATTCAAAACCACAACTGCAGTACAGAAGGCAAATAGCCGCCCTGATAAAGGGAGTCCACGCAAATGGAAGTGGGCTGCGGGGTTTTTTTGCCTTTCTGTGCTTATTTCTCTACATCAGTTTGCAAAGATGCAAAATGAGCTGCAACTAGTAAGGGATGCCAAGTCTGCTACATTTTCTGTAATACAAGTCAGATTTACTTTCTCTTTTAACTAGAAAGATTTGAGCTTAGATCTTGGTGTGTTTTGACCTTCAACGGAGTAAATCCGCCCAGCAGGGACCCCAGACCTTTCTACCCCTGGCATGTGCTCCTACAGCTACAGATAGAAAATCTCTCAACTAATTTTTCAGTCTGCTACTGAGTATTCATCTCGCTGCAAAACTTGCAATATGGAAGAGCTTTCCTGTCCCTCTAATCAGCTCAGGGATCAAGCACAAGGCAAATTTTCTGCAAGGCTGTCTCCTCCTGTCCTCTGTCTCAGATCTAATATGCTGTTTTCCCAGGTGACCCTCCACAAGCTGCTGCCTGGATTGGCCAGTGTATCCTCTACTTGCTGATAATGGTTTTTGAGAAGACTGTGATTAGCCTCGTCCTGCTTATCCCTGGCTGGACGAAGGTAAGCTCCCGAGCTGTATTTTTCTAGCCACGGCTGTTGTGGCTTGTTCCTTGTCAGCTTTGCCTTATTAGTGGTCCCCATCATCGTAGGTCTTTAATCCTTATGAGTTGTTGACATGTCTCTGTAATCATTAGCTATTACTTAAGTCTGGGGAAACATGGCTTTCATAACAGTTTGGCTGTTGGCACGTTCTCCTGCTGGTCAAAAGCTAGTGGAATAAGATGCTGCTTTAACTTTATTTTCCATCCTTGGAAGGATAAAATGGGCTGGGCTGGCAGCTGAGCTACTTCAGTTCTGCCAGAGGATTTCTACATTATCTCATCAAGTCAGTTCATGTTGGTGATTTCGTGATCCCATGCCTAAGCTAGGGGGACTCTTAGAGGTTAATTTGGAAAGAGCTACGTATGAGTAAGAACAGTCGCATCCTTTCCTCCCCCCCCCAACTGCTTCTGTGTGGCAGCTCCTGTTGCTCGTGAGGTTCCCTTTTAAAAAATAAAAATAATAATCCTGTGGCAGTTGTAGCCACATACCTGGTAGCAGGTAGGTGTGGTGGTTATAAAAAACAATTCTGGGTATTATAAGAACCAGTTCTCCAGTATTGAGTGCATTGGGATGTAGTGCCTAGTACCTCAGAGGCTGATGTGACTTGACTGAGGAGTTATTTACAGCAATCTGGGAGCACTTATCTGTTCCTGTTAAGGGCTGGTCCTTCTCAGTAGCCTACAGTGCTGACTTGGACACGAACATGTTCAGCAGCACGCACTGCTAGATCCAGAGATGCTGCAGGACTCCTCTCCACGCTTGTCACGCGTGGCTGGTGTCCTTATTTTGCAGCTAGGCTCCAAGGAGCAAAGTTCCACCAGTTGTCAGGGGTAGTTAAACTGGAAGCCTAGCAGTACTTTTCTCTTGATGTGTACGAAATCCTGTGTTTGGTAGCTGGGCTATAGGAATAGGCCATGTAGTGTTTCTAAGAGCTGGGCTAGAGCAAAGGCTGCAGAGCCCTGACTAGGAGACTGCTGGTGTAAGAAGGCAAACAGTTTGCAGCAAAGATCTTGCAGCAGAGCTGTTCAAATAATGCTTTCTCCTCTGCAGCTTCAGCAGATCCTCCTGGGTTACATCCCAAACCCCCAGCTGGAGCTCGTCCTGGTCATGCTTGTTGTGCCTTTTATTGTCAATGTAAGTGATGCCTCTGCAAGCGCTGGGTGGGGTGGTTTGGAAATTATGGTCCCCCTCAATGGGGAGAGTGTACAGGAACTGGCTTGGGGCAGCCTTGAGTAATTGAAGTGGCTGGGACAGGGTGGAGGGGAGTGGAAATAAATATATTTGTTGTCATGAATATGCAAATATGTCACTTACTGCCCTGCCATGATCTCTGTTCCTAATTCCTGCTCCCTTATCCAAGCTGCTGGGTGGCTGACTCTTTGAAGAAAGCTGGGGCTCATTAGCTGAGGGTTGCATCTTGGCAGCAAGCTACAGGCACGGGGGGATGCCTCAAAACCCTTTAAATTCCTATAGGATGGCTTGTCAGTGGTGACCTTTGGCAGCCTGCCCACTAGACATTTGGCTAGGTTGGGTTACAGCAAGGCATTCAGGTTAACCCAGAACTATTGATCTTCTCAAAACTAGTTTGGCAAAACCTCTTGAAAGCTCAGCTGCTTCCTGGTTCCCCTGCTTCTGGGTAATCCTTGACCTGCTGCTCAGTTCCTGCTAAGATGGGAAGTGAGAACAAGGTGTTAACCTTCAGATGCCCCCTGCACAAGGAGGGATTTGAACTTTTTTTTTTTTTTTTTTCAACTCATGCCTTGAGCATTGCAATGGATGCAGCACTGGCAAAGGTGGGTTTGCCTACCTCTGCTACCAGCCTCTCTCTGTCACCCCAGGCTGCGTTTCCTTCTTTGAAAGCAAAGTTGTATCTGGTTGTCAGAGAACTGACCAGGGTCTGGTGCAGGTAGAGCAGATGAACTTTGGATGGAGCTTAGTTCAATGGTTATTTCCCAGTAGTAACTTGCCCTATTGTGGTCTTTTTTCCTCTGGGTCTTCAACAACTATGGAATCAATAGGTTTTATATAAGAAAGGACCTCAGGAATTTGACTCATCCCCTGGGGCACACTTGATGGAGGGTTAATTTAGATATTAAATTAGGTTGATCAAGGCTGGAGATCTGGAGAAACCAAAAGGAGAAGAAAGAGCTGTGACTGAATGACTTCGTATTTTGTTGTCTGCGATCTATTCATGTAACTTCTTTCTCCCCAAGGCCATTATGTTCTGGGTTGTGGACAGCTTGATCATGAGGAAATATAAGCAGAAGGACACCCTGGACATCAATGGATCCATAGAAACTCCTCGGGCGAGGGGGACTGAGGAATCTCAGGTAAGACCAAGGGTGTCCTATGTTTGAGACCAAACTGCAAGCTGACAGTATGGTCTGTGTGCTTTACCACAGCCATCCAACGTATCACAGAATCGCAAGGGTTGGAAGGGACCTCGGGAGATCATCTAGTCCAACCCCCCTGCTAGAGCAGGCTCTCCTAGAGCATTCTACACAGGACTTCATCCAGGCAGGCTTTGAATATCTCCAGAGAAGGAGACTCCACAGTCCCCCTGGGCAGCCTGTTCCAGTGCTCCGTCACCCTTAGAGTAAAGAAGTTTTTCCTCATATTCAACTGGAACCTCTTATGTTTCAGTTTGCACCCATTGCCCCTTGTCCTGTCGCTGGACACCACTGCAAACAGACTGCTTCCATCCTTGTGACTTCCGCCCTTAAGATATTTGTACGTGTTGATAAGGTCCCCTCTCAGTCTTCTCTTCTCCAGGCTGAACAAGCCCAACTCTCTCAGCCTTTCCTCGTAGGGGAGGTGCTCCAGTCCCTTTATCATCCTAGTTGCCCTCCTCTGGACTCTTTCTAGGAGTTCCTCATCTTTCTTGAACTGGGGAGCCCAGTACCATCACATTGCCTAGACCCAAGGTGATGCTTCATGAATGCAGATGGTGACCCTGCTAATTCAAACTGACTTTCCATGCTTGTAGCTGAGGTCAACAGAGGGATGTTTCCTGGCAGGATCTGGCCCTGTCTAACAAAGTGTGACATCACAGCACAAAGTGTTGCTGAAATACTGCCCTAAATGATGACAGTACCTTGTGGGGTATGCGCTAGCTTTTGCAGGAACCTCTGTGGGCTTGTTGCAGTGATGGGCTGAAGCTGGTGGGTACCTCTGCACCATCTCTCTCAACTTTCCCATTTTTAATTGTAATTAACCTTGTCTTAGAAGAGCTTGCTTTCCTTATTGTAATTGGTAGCATCCTTTTTTTTAAAGGACAAGGCCTAGCTGGCAATCCTGGGTTTTGCAATGTTTGGTGGTTTTTTTTTTTTTTTTTTAGCCAGATGATGGTCCCTCATCTGTAGGAAGCTCTATTTTGTGTAGTCTGAGCCTGACACTTAAAAGTTATTGGGGGGTGGGGGTGGAAATGCTCCAGTCTCAGCAGACTTTGTTCTTGCTAATGAGGTGTGGTTTGCTGGGCAGGTGCTGTCTGTGCTTCTCATCGGCTGAGCCCACAACCTGAGTCACTGGGTTGCATTCCCTTCCTTCCCCTGGCACCCAGACCTGGTTTCAAAGTGCTCTGTGTACGACTGCCTGATATCCTGCAGTTCGCTGGCGAGACTAGCTGAGATAAGAGAGCTTCTGGCAGTCGCGGGCTGGCTCCGGGAGTAGCTTCTGCTGAGGGATTTGGGATGAATAGAAATAGCTTTTGCTCTCTGAGACATCTTTTTATAAAGAGTAACTCTGCTCGTATGATGACGGGTGGGGTGGCCAACTACTGGTGGTGTTGCAACGCACACGGAGGTAATGGTGTTTAACAGTGTGCTTGGCAGTCTGCACGGCAGCCGTGGCTGTGGGGGAAGCGGGCGCCGCTCGTGAGGATGCGGCATCGGAGGAATCTTCCCTCTGGTGGGGGGGGGACAGGCAGATGTGAGCAGCTGTTGAGACAAGTGAGTCACTGCTCCTGGCCCTGCCTCCGGATAAACAGTTGTAGCTCGGCCAGGTCACTTAGAAACATGCGGACAGTGTGCCCCAGGGGGTTCCCCGAGTGGGGGGGGGGGTGTGAGGGCGTCCTTGAGAAATCTTTTATTGTTTTGGAGAGAGGAGGGATGAGAGGCCTGAGCTGGGCTGTACCAGTGTGTCTTAATACTTGTGCATTGAAGCTCAGAATTCATACCTAGGACACAAAGGTGGATTAACTCTGAGCATGAACGCCTCCCTGGTTGAGGCACAGTCCCAGTTTCTCAGTGGCGATTGATGTTTGAGAGTGGTACTTCCATCCTGCAGAAAGACCTGGATAGGCTGGAAGAGTGGGCTAACAAGAATCTTATGAAGTTCAACACGGACAAGCGTAAGGTCTTTCACATGGGAAAACACAATCCAGGAGTGCAGCACAGCCTGGGATCCACCCAGTTGGAGAGCAGCTCTGTGGGAAGGGACCTGGGGGTCCTGGTGGGCAAGAAGCTCCACAGGAGTGAGCAGTGTGCTGCTGTGGCCAAGAAGGCCAACGGGATGCTGGGTTGCATTGACAAGGGCATCACCAGCAGAGATAAAGTCATCCCACTTGACTCAGCACTTGTCAGGCCACACCTGGAATCCTGTGTACAGTTCTGGTCCCCACTGTACAAAAAAGCTGTGGACAGGCTGGAGGGGGTCCAGAGAAGGGCCACCAAGATGATCCAAGGCCTGGGAAGCCTGGTGTATGAGGATAGGCTGGGAGAGCTGGGTTTGTTCAGCCTTGAGCAAAGGAGGCTTAGAGGGGAAACACTGAAGTGTTTTGTGGCCTCTAGTTCAGTTTTGAATAATCCGAAGAGAAGGTCTCTGTAAATCTTCAGAAGCTAAGAAAGGCTCTTCTGGGAGCTCAACTAGACAGGTTGCTTCAAGCAATGGAAACTGGACTCCCACAGCCTGACTCCTGTTGTCAAAGGCGGCTTCCATCTTCCAAGTGCTTGACTCTTTTTCTCAGACAAATTTTTGCTGAGACCATCAATATGCAGGTCATCTGTCCGTCTTGAAACCCTCTGATCCATCCACTCCATGCAGTGTAGCTACTGAGGGGGCTGGTTTGTACCTGGAGCAGTCTATGGGGGCTGCCTCCTTTCTGCTCAGATGTGTTCCTGTGCCTCTGGCCCAAAAAATAGTTTGGGCAGAGAAGGTGGGTAATGAGGAAATACAGAAGTGAAGGACGTGCTTTTCCAACTCTTTCTTGGCACTGGGCCTTGAGGTATAGCCATAGGCTCCTGTTCAATATGTCATCTTTTTGTGCTATGAGTTAGACTGTGTTAGCTGGCTGGGCCTTACAGCTGGACTGGTTGAAATTTAGGCTTGAACACATAAAATGAGGGTTTCTTAGGCTCATTGCTACTAATAACCTGTTCAAGTGGGGGAACTTCTTCCCTCCCTGCTCTCCCACAGAGAGGGAGGGCGGCTGAGAAGCGTCTCTGTGCAGGGCAGAGCTGGCTGAGGCTAATGTGTCCCGCAGTTTATCAGGGTTCATCAGGGCTGTCTAGCAGCAGGCGCCAACAGCTCCCCATCATGCTGCCTTCTTGAATTTCAACCCTCTGCCTATCTTGCCCATAGTGTCATTATTTTCACTTGAACTAGCAGTTTGTGTTTAGAAAAGGAAAGGGAGAGAGGAAGGAGAATGGAAGGGGCGGGCTGGAGTTAACCTGTTAAAAACCCACACTCAGTATTTTCTGTAGGGAGTAACAGGAAGACTCAGCTTTGTCCTTGGCTTGGTAGACCAGCTGGGTAGCAAGAAGAAACCCAGCAACCAGCAATCCTGCCTTTGGTGATGCTTGCTGACTCCATGGCTGCAGTGTAGACCAAAGAACTGGCGGTCTCTTGTGGGCTTTAAGGCTCTTCTGGGGAGCCACAGATGTGATGATGGGCTCTTGCTTGTAATGGAGCAACTGCTGAACTTTTTTATGCTGAAACACTGAAAGGGACAAACTCAGTCTTATGGTGGGAAGAATTTCACCATACCTTCCAAGTCAGGCTTAGAGCTTTCTGTTGTTTCAGGCTTGTGCCCTGCCTTGGTAAACCTTCACGCAGGCTTTTTTTGCCCTCTTGTGGGATGGAAAGAGAACTCTCAAGAGTACCAGTCTGAATCCAGTGTTCAGGCCGGGGAAATACATTCATCTGCGTGGCCCTTATTTCTGCTTTGTATGTGTCCTGTCCTTGACCTGAGTCTTTTTTCCCTTGCCCTTGCAAGTGCCAATAAACACTGATCTTATCAGTGATTTCTTTGTTTCCTCCGCTCAGGAAAACAACTCTGTTTCAATAATGTTTTATTTGATCTTTTTTTGAACTTGTTTCTTGTCTTGTTTTGGGTTTTTTCCCCCCCCAAGGGTAGTGTGTGAGTTTCTGCTCCTTTTCTGAGGGCTTACATTTTCAGAGACGAGCCTCGAAGCAAAACTTGGTCTAGTAACAGTGGTATTTGTGAGAGCTGTTAGGGTGAAACTAGCCTCTAGTTTAAGGTTGGGAGGAAAGCTAATAGCTCATATACTCCATGGGGACCTGCCTTTGGTCAGCGTGGAGTTCAGCACCTATCCCAGTTCCCTTCACAGGGAGCTGTGACTTTTGGCAAACCCCTAGACTGAAGATGCTGATGAATGCCAATACCTATGCTGCTTGGTTTTAAGTATTGAAGAATACTCCAAGAGTGAGTTTGATTTGCTGCTTGCTTAATTTAGCTGATCTTTAAATAGCTTAAGCTCAAGATGAAGTGAGGTGCCTGGTCCTTATGGGGAAGCCAAACGAAGGTGGGTGTAGAGGTGCCTCTGGAAGAAGACTCTCCCACCTGTCAGCTCTACTGGCTCATGGGAACTTATCTAAGCTTGGTTGCAGGAGGACAATGGGATGGTTCCTACCTCTACACCAAGCTGGTGGTGCTTTAGGCAAACAGGTTTCCACCGGCTAGCAGGGAAGTGGCCCCAGAGCTGCTTTGTTTTACAACCTGTGTAAACCAGTTCTGATCTGTCCGTGCAATCTCTTTCTCTGCCACTGAGATGGCTTGGTTACCTGGAGGGTCTGCTTGGATGGAGTACCAAACCAGTAGACAGCCTCCTCCCCGAGACGGGAGGTGTTGGCAGAGCGCACGGGCAGCCCTGTTTCGGTAGCGTGACCCATGTTGTTTTGCAAGCTTCTGGCCTCCTGGTGTGGGGAGGAATGCATGAGGTATTTGAGGACTGCTGAGTGAGACAGTAGCACATTGTCCCAGGACTGGGAAACTGTGGTCTGTTCCCAGCTGTGCCACCGACCTGCTGTGATCCTGACCTGGATGCATCTGCAGGGGAAGCGCCTTGTCCAAGTTGTGCTGAAAACTCCCAAACTGGAGTTTGGCTTGAAAACCACATCTGAGGGTATGTCCCATGACTGTCATAGCGATGAGGCGCCGTCTTGTGATGAAGCCCCCTGAGGAATGGTAGGAAGGTTACTGGGGGATTGTTGGCTTGAGCAGCTTCGTACAAGTTGTGTGGTGGGCAGGTGGCAGCCTGAATGGGTCTGGGTGCACAACGCTTAGTGCCTGCTCAGTCAGCCATGCTTGGCTGCAACGGGATTTGAGTTTGCAGCTGAAACCCACTGGAACTACCAGTTCATTAGGTCCCAAAACCAGCCTGTTGCAGCCTGTCAGAGTTCAGTGAGTTTATAATGCTGTGTGTGACTAATTATCCGCCCATTTTTTCAGGTTCAATGGCATTACAATATTAATATGATAAACAGAGGAAATCTTCACTTGGAAGAGATGGAAGCTTTCCAGTATGTGTCTTGAACCAAAAAAAAAATTCCTTGAGACCAATGGGGGGGACACAAGAGAGCTTAATCTGATCGACTGCTATCCTTTGAGTGTCTGATGTGCTGCTGTGAAGATAACAACATCAGATGGAGGGGCTGGAGTGTGCATGAGGGTGGGGAGGAAATCTTCCCCTGCGGCTCCTTCTACTCCTTTGAAGTCATTGACTCATTGCAGTTTGTTTTTCCTGTTTAGTTGTGTTGTTGCTGTGGTGACTTGGCCCCATGGTGCTGCCTAAGTGTTAACAAGTGGAGGGCATGTTAATTCACAGCTGTTCCTGGAGATAGCCATGGATAAGACAAATTTCCCCCATGCTCCTGGTTTTGCCCAAGCTCCAGGACTGGCCAAGGTGTTGGGGACGCTCTACGGGTGAACGCGCTTGGCTGAAAGCCCATGCACTATCCCTTGTGACTTTGAGCTGGAAGGCTGCTGTGAGCCCGGCACAGGGAGGCTTCACAGTGCATTGGTTCAGTCTTTGGACCAAAGTGGGGTCAGATGGGGCTGAGGCTTGGGTGGGAGGTCTGCACTACCTTGCTGGAGAAAGCTGTGTTTGTGGGGGTGGTGGTGGTGGTACCTGCCCCTTGTCCCTGCATCAGCCATGAACTAACGATGCTATTTGGGTTCTGTGGTGGGCAAGCGGAGGAGGGGGAAAGGGCTGCTGGCATTGCTCATCCAGGGAAATAAAACTGGAGGCCCTTGACTCTGCTGTTAGGTTTGTGCCCCTCTGTAGAGTTGGGGGCTGAGGTGCCAAGGTCCCGGCCAGGCTTCTGATTTGGAAGACTAGTGTTTACCAGAAATCATATAATCACAGAATGTTTTGGGTTGGAAGGGACCCCTAGAGGTCACCCAGTCCAACCCCCCTGCAGGAGCAGGGACACCGCTAACCACATCAGGTTGCTCACAGCCCCGTCCAACCTGGCGTGGAATGTTCCCAGGGATGGGGCCTCCCCTACTTCTCCGGGCAACCCATTCCAGTGTTTTACCACCCTCATTGTAAAGAATTTCTTCCTTAGATCCAGTCTAAACCTACCCTGGTTTAGTTTAAAACCATCACCCCTTGTCCTGTCACAGCTCGCCCTACTAAAAAGATTGTCCCCATCTTTCCTATAGGCCCCCTTTAGGTACTGAAATGCCACAATCAGGTCTCCCGGCGGCCTTCTCTTCTCCAGGCTGAACAAGCCCAAATCTCTCAGCCTGTCCTCAATCCCATGGTTTGACTGAGATCCTGAGTACTGCTGGGCATGACACAAGCTGTAGCGCAAGCGTTGACTGTGCTTCAGCTGTGCTTGGAGGTAGCTGCTGTCAGGGGTAATGACAGTAGGGCTTCTCTTGCCCAAAGCTGGGTGTTTGAGGTGAGGAGAAGGGGTAGGATGGGGTTGAGCAAGCTGTCAGGCCATATTTCCCATGCAAGCTGCTCGTCCATCCAGGCTGCTGGCTGGCATTGGGTTTCAGCTCTTCTGCAGGTAGTGCAGCCATAGCCTGAGTAAAATCTGGCCTTTTTCCTCTTCCAGATGATGTGGCTGGAGGATGCCCCACGAGTGGCTCCGTCTGCATCGCTCCAGGCTGGTGGCAGCCAGTTAGCTCAAAACAGCCTGTTGGTAGCTTCAAGTCTGAAGTTAGCTACTGAGAGCGTAGGTGTTCCTGGAGGCAACGTGCAGCCTTTTGATCATGCAGCAAAGCTGTGGGCTTTCTTACCTGTGGAGGTACCGGTGAGAGGGGTCAGTACTCCCACAATTCAGACTGAGCCAGGAGCTGCTGTGCCAGGTAGAAATAAGATGTCACCAGGCTAGGACACCACTCCTGTGCTTGCTGGCCATGGCTGAAGTTAACCCCACAGCTCTGGTCACTCTGCTGGCTGAGCTCTGGAGCTAGCAAGCAGCTGGGGGCCTGGGAAAAGGTCTACATTTGGTACAGCTGTTTACAAAATATCCAGTTTTTGACATCTCCACCTAGGCTGCAGCCTGGCCTAAACATGTGTGTCTGTGGGAGTCCTGTCCCATGGTGAACAGAGCTTTTAGCTGCCTGTTTTGCTCTCTGGGGGGGGTGCGGTTGGGACACCAGATTGTCCCTGTGTCTGTGCCCAAATCTGTTTGACTGCTGTTAGAGAGATGGTCAAGGTGACCTTGAGACCTTTCCCATCTGCCAGAGAGGATTAGATCTTGCAGAAGACCCCTCTAGGGGTGCTTGATCCCTTCAGCAAGCAGTATCAAGAAGAGCTGAGAACTGTCACTCCATCAGCATCCATCTCTTCTCCCTTCTAGGTGTTACTCTCTCCAGACATGGATTTTGATCAGTCTGAAAGTGACCAGGATGTTTCGGGACTCCAGGGAATGAACCACAAGATGAAGCAGCCCAGCTATCAAGTGGTCATCTGACAACGCCGAGACAAGGGAGGTGGAGGAAGGGAGGTAGCACTGTGATCCTTGAGCTGGCCGAGGAAGGGCAGGGTGGGCAATGCTGGTTGATCCCTATGGATCTGCAGAGATCCTTTTGCCTGCCTCATCTAGGCCTATCCTTCTGCAGTTGTCTCTTTGGGGTGGTATCTGTGCATGCTCTACAGGCTTGAGCAGTATCTGCTTTACCTGTCTGACCCTAACCTGTACACATGCAGGCACGTTGAGGTTATGGGTATGGATATGTACGTCCCCTGGCTGGCCAGCTGGGTGTAACTTTTTGTCAGGGCTAGAGACTGAAATGGAAAGATTGTCTGGTTTGGTTTTTTTATAGAAAAAAGAATCTATCCTGTACTACCTGAACTATGACACTTTTATATGCACAATACTCAAAAGAATTGGTTAGCAATATGTATTTAAATGTCTTGAATTGGGAAGATTGTCTCAGTGGATCTGATGCTTTTTACTGTTTTATGAGGAATGCAATAAATAGTTGACCTAAAACTGCTTCATAAATTAAATGCCTCCGTGTGCTTAATGTTTTGCAAAACCCTAACGCTGTAAAGGGGAGGAAGGGGATCTGTTGAAATCTTTCCCAACCGGTTCCTCACAGGGCAGGTTGTCTTTCTGCAGCAGGGCTGTCCTAGTAAACCTACAGAAGACGAGCTGAGCCACAGTGCTCAGCTTCTGTAGATGGGGGTTGTATGAGCCACTTGAGTGCAAAGACTCGATGTTGCAGTATCAGCCTGTGCTGGACTCCAGACTGGAACAGACTCAGAGATTGGTCCTAATTGCCACCTTACAAGTGTTTACGAGGAACTAGAAGTTGACTACTTCCCTTTTTACCTAGTTCAATAAACATACAAAATCTCTGCAGGACCCGATTCAAAAACTAGATCTGAAGAGTCAACTGAAGCCCCTTTAACCAGCCCTTGGGGTAAGAGCATGGCCTCAGGTAGGACCACTGCAGGAGAAGACCCCTGGGTCATCCCAGAAGACCCCTGGGTCTTCCCAGATCTAGAGGCACCTTTTGCTCCAAGTGTGAGGTGCAGGGCTTTGCCCTTGCTCTCTTGTTAACATAATGTATTCATTTAGAAACGCACAAAAATACAAAATGCTTTGCAGCTCTCCAGGGGAGCGTGTAGAGCAGCTGGGTGCAGATACACAGCTGTGCGGAGACCCATGCAGAGTCCAAATGGTGGATAGTCCTTGGACCAGGGCCTGATCCAGGTTCCACTGAACTGAACCAGTAGGTCCAGTTGGGCCGTAGACAGGCTTTGCTTGTTGCAAGACAGTCCCCAGAAGTGTTGGGCAGGAATTATCTTTTATTCTCCTTCCCTCCCTTGTATTTTCCCAAGAAAACACTTCTTATTAAAGAGTAGAAAATAAAGGATTTGGATTTTCTAACTTAGTTGGATTTAGTCTTTTAAAAGCTGAGCTGAGTGTGTGTGAAGTTCTTTGGTTTTGTGGGGTTTTTTTGGTTTTGGGTGGGTTTTTTTCTAACTTCAAAGTAGTTCAGAAGCATTAGATGCAAATCAAAGTCTTGCATGCCCCTTAGTGAACTAGACATGCTTGGTTACACTTGCAGCTGTGCAGCCTTACACTGTATTTCTGGAAATTAAGTCCTTTTTTGTTTCTTCCTTACTTAATGAAGGGTCAAAATCCTACTTGTGCTGGCAGATCAAATGGCTTTTGGAACACATGGCGCAAAGCTCTCTGAATAGATCACTTATATTTCTTAGCAAAATGAGTTTCACAATGCGACCTTTGCTTGTCTGGCCAAGTTCTGCACTGGTAAGGGCTGGAATAACTCCTGTGCTGTTTAAGGTCTTGACTGAAAATAGATTAAACCAGCTTCCCTATCAGAAACTTGCTCCCTATTTTGAGGTGTACTGGTATTTTGGGTTTTGTTCTTGCTATAGGGCTGCACAATGCAATGCTGTAGTATGTGAAGAGTGCAGATTCATAGAATCATAGAATGTTTTGGGTTGGAAGGGACCCCTAGAGGTCACCCAGTCCAACCCCCCCCTGCAGGGAGCAGGGACATCGCTAACTAGATCAGGTTGCTCACAGCCCCGTCCAACCTGGCCTTGAATGTTCCCAGGGATGGGGCCTCCACTACCTCTCTGGGCAACCCATTCCAGTGTTTCACCACCCTCATTGTAAAGAATTTCTTCCTTATATCTAGTCTAAACCTACCCTGGTTTAGTTTAAAGCCATCACCCCTTGTCCTGTCACTGCTGGCCGTACTAAAAAGATTTTCCCCCTGTTTCCTATGGGCCCCCTTTAGGTATTGAAAGGCTGTAATCAGGTCTCCCCACAGCCTTCTCTTCTCCAGGCTGAACAACCCCAACTCTCTCAGTCTGTCCTCATAGGAGAGGTGCTCCAGCCCTCGGATCATTTTTGTGGCCCACGGCAAAGTCCTGGTCCTAAACTGGAATGTGAGTGATGTGATCTTCATCTTAGCCCTTAGTTGAGGCTGGCCGAGAAGCCTCACAGTAGGTGATAGGAGTGCAAGTATGATGTGGGGGAAGGTTGTTCCTCTCAAGTGTTGCATAGCCAGCGCTGTTTCAGCAACCCTAAATTCAGGAGTCCTGTTCCCTTGTCCAAAGTGGTGGTGTGCAGTTGTTCCCACTGGGCTCCAGAGTGATTGCTCAGCCCTCGTTCCTGAGCTATCTGAGCAGCTTGCAGTCTTTAACCATATCACAGCAAAACGAAGTGCTCTGTGGTGCTCTTGGCCATGAGAACAGATGTGTGCTTGTATGTCTGGGTGTTTCAGTGCGCTTCCTGGGAGGACCAAACCTGGCCACATGCTCCTGCTGAGAGAGGGAGGTTTTGCGATGCCCCTTTATAGATGAGGAAGGCTGAAGCTTATAGTCCATGACCTGCCTTTGCTCTTGGGGCAGCAGGAGCACAAACTCTGATTTCCCATGTCCTGTGCTACTGTATTAACTCTGTGTGGTTAAATTCTCAGTTTAGTGTGGGAGTAGACCCCTGGGGTCTCTTAACGTAACGCGCTTCTTGCTTCCTACCAAGTGTATAGAGGCTGAAGAATATCACTGACCTTTAATTTTCTGCTGAAATTACTTCAGTTCCCAACCTGTTGTTATTTTGTGAGTGGTTCTTTCAGCTACCTGGTAATATGAGCTTGTCCAGCAGCATAAAACATGTATAACCTTAGCTTCAAAGCTTATTTTATCTTCACCAAAGGAAAGTTTCACTGCAGTGTTCACTGTAAAATATTTATTGTGAAATGGATAAATGGAGCCTTAACAAGAACTTGAGTATATTGCTCCAGGTGCTTCACATGGCTGGGAGGTTGGACTTGATCATTATTCTTTTCAGGCCCTGAAAGAAAGAGGTTTCCTTGGCTGGAGGAGGAGGAGGAGGAGTAATGATGCACCTGAAGCATTAGCAATGTGTGTGTGTATATACATATCTATATACAGGAGAGATGAAACAAGAGGAGAGCCTGAGCCAATCACTCCCCTTAGAAATACACTTGAACAGCAAAACAAGGGAGGAGAGTGAAGATTTCAAATCTTTTTTTCAGTAAGGACAGTATGAAGAAGACACCAGCCAAACCTTGGGCTGTCTGGAAGTTCACTGCCGCCATCCTGTTCACCCCTGTGCTAGTGCAATGGGAGGTTATTTGGGAATGGGCTGGGTGAGCCTCCTACTGTCTGCTTGGGTGAAGTCACGTTCACAGGTGCTTTTTTCTCGTCTCATCCCTGGCCCCCGTGCATTAGCATCTTAGGTTATTGCATGCTCAGGCCTGTGCTGAAGGTCTTGCCTTCAGATCTCCCTTGCAGGAGAGCTATTTCTCAAGATAGCTGTGCCCAAAGCAGTAGTTTTGTCTTTGTGTTTTGTTCCAAAGTGTGAGGCTCAGCATGAGTTTTGCACTAACTGAGCTCTCTGTAAGGGTCTTCCAGAGTGCAATTAAATCTAGCTGGTTGCTGTCAGCTGTTTCCCCACAGCACAGGGTGTGAATAAGCAGCCATGCTTGCTACCTGCTCTGCTGCCACAGTGCTGGCAGTACTGACTAGATGATCAAGCAACTGGAAAACCACCACCCCACCCCCAGCACCTGGAGCTCCTACGGCAACAATATGATTTAATTTTTAAATATGCAAAAAAATCAGTCAAGATTGAACCTGTTTCTGTAGGTCTTTGGCAGTGTGGGTTTGGTTTTTTTTTTTCCCTCCTAACACATGGATATAATTTAGCTCCTGGAGATACGTCCACACCCACCCCCTTCCTTTCAGTTCTGGAAAGGCAGCGTATACATGAGCTCAGTTTGGCCTTGCCATGTAAATGTCTTTGTGGTTGTCGAAGTCCTCTTTGGCCAAGTTCTCTACTAAGCAAACTCCCCTGTGGCTGATCTATAGCATTATTCAGTGATGCCTCACTTTAAAATAAACTACAGCCTTGCAGTTTGGGTTTAGATGTTTCTTTGCAGAGCAGCACCACCTGCAGTGGGGGTGGCTGGCAGACCCTTCTGTAACCTCCTGCTGCGTACAAATTCCTGCAGTGTAAGGGAGGAGAAGGAGCCAGGGAAATTGGGATGAAAAATTTTTGACAATTCAGAGTAAATAAAGACTTCCTCCCTGATTAGAAAAGCAGCTAGAAAAGTCGAGTCTAAATTCAAGAGGCTGCTTTGTAGGGTCACAAGCTATTGTGGGTGCGGATCCATTATCCCTTTGAGAATTTAAATCTCTGCTAAGCAGAAGTGATGCTCTGCTCAAGGAGGTGGCAGGTCTGCTGGAAGCTCACAGTGGAACTTTGTTTCTCTCTGAGGGAGTGAAGACTCAAGAAATCACCAAACTTGCAATGTTATTTAAATGAGATGCTTCATGGAATGGGAGCCTGCGAAGACCAGGGGTGCTTTTTAAGCATGCAGCCTGTGCACTGAGACAACAATAAACCACATGAAGGCTTCCACCACTGTTTTAAGGGTCCGTAGTGGTTCAGGGAACATCATGATTAGTGGCAAATCCAGACCCCATCCCAATAACCAAGAAAGCAATACCCCCTTGTGGCTGGTTGATTTAAGAATTTGATTTCTTTGTTACCTCTGTGATGCTAATGAGCCACTGCAGATGAATATTTACCCACCTCTCCTCTCTCTCTCCTTTCCCCAGGGACCATGGTTGGAGCAGGTGCTCCATGACACTTCTTTGCAAGGCGGATCACCCAACGTGGTCTCTCTCTAGATAGACACAGTGCTGTATGATCTGTGCCTCTCACTGGGCAACTTGTCAGCCCCTGGGGTTATTGCACAGATCCCATGCATTTATTTTAAGGCCAGCACCTCTCTGTACTGTTCAATATGAGTGCTGGCCCATTTCTCCCTCCCTTCCCACTGGGAGAGCACCAATCATGCCTTTAACCATGCCCTCAACCCTTCCCCCCCAAAACCTCCTTGTCTTCAGAAATTTGATGAACTATGTTCACCTAACATGAAAGAGGGACAGCTGATTTCCAAGAGCAAAAAGCCTTGGTTTCTTTGGCACCAAAAAGTAAGGAAATATTCATAAGTTGCCTAGCTCTAAAGGCTTCAAAAGGGAATCGCTGTCACACGTGCTGCTGCAATGCATTGCTACGATCGATCTTAAAGGCTGTTAATCGTCCCAAAGCTGGTCCCTGTGTCGAAAGGATGAGAAGCCAAATAGTCTTTATAGCTCCCATCGATCAGTTTGTCCGCATTGTTTTTGGCAAACCAGCAGTCAACTTCCTGCTGGCCGTTGTAGATCCTCCTCTGCTTCCACACAACAGGAACGAGCCGTCCCTTCACTTTCAGGGTATTTGTAGAGTTTGGCTTTAATGCTTCAGTTTGGTTCTGACCAACCTGCTGATGACTTGTGTTTAGAGATTCCTGAAGAAGTTTAACTTCATGGTTCAAGAACTGACCTGCAAGGCAAGATAAAATAGACTCCATGACTGGCTGTTTTGTGCCTGTTTATAAGTTGTTTGTTGGTTTGGTTTTTTTTTAATACACCACACTTTGAGGATTTGTAGCGTATGGGGATATGTAAAGCGTAAAGGGCTGCTTTACAATAGCAGGATGAATCTAGGTCCTGAGATTCTTTCTAAATTTCACAAACATAAAGATAGAGATCAGAATAAAACCCTGGGGTTTTTTTTTTCACTTGTCAAGATACATTGGCTGAGCTAAAGAGCTTTTTGAGCTGCTAGTAGCAAGTTCCCCTCTGTGGGCCATGGTTACTAGAGGATAATATAAGCCATACAAAGCCCATCACCAAGCAAAAAGAAGATCTAGGCTTGAAGCCCCACGTTCTCTTCCCTTGCCTTCTTGGGGGCAACCTCTTTTCAGCCAAACCTAAGCATGGATTTAGAAGTTTGCACATGCAAGCAGCCTGAATCCAAAACTCCCCTCCTGAAGGATAATTTTCTGCTTAACCTAGGGGTACCTGAATGTCACAGAAACTATGGCTTTGGTCTTAGAGTTCTGCACCTGTACATGGCCATAAACATTACTACTTCTCATTGGCTGAAAGAACCCAACCATATAGACATTCTCTGAGCCTTCCTAAAGCCTAATTGCTCTCAAAATGTGGGGATGGCTCTTCTTTCACCTCACCTTGGAAAGAAAGGGGCCACAAAAAGTAGTAACGTTTCTTGATCTCAATCAGGCTCAGGTGTAACCAGCTCAGTCCTGTGAAAACAGACCCTCCGGACATGTGCCAGTGCAGTACTTGAAGGCTAAGCCAACGATCTCTGGCAATGCGCTAGCTCTGTGACTAGAACTCTTTCAAAATCTGCAAGACCTCAGCTGACTGTCCTCTCTGCCTAGGGATTCAGACCCTACTTCGCTATGTCCCTGAGAGCACACGATCAGCTGGGCTAGTCTGAATTAGGACTACTGTTAGCAAATCTCTTATTGGTGCCTTATTCAGGGTTCTTGTGTGGTATTTGGTTCCTGTCTTTGTACCGAGAACATCAAGCATGTGTATTCTAATGACAACTGCATTGAACAATCATTAAAAGAGTGGAACGTGAAAAACAGGCACAGCCACATAGCTAGGATAGTGAGAGAGAGCTCATACAGAAAAAAATGGGAGAGGAGTTGGGGATGCAAGCAATAGAGAAGTTGTTTGGGAGTGGATATAAATGTCTCACCTGGGAACTTAATCCCCCCTCCTGCCTTGTTCATTACCTCCTGTCTCTGTCCTTTAAAACTGTTTGGAAGGGTCATTTCTGGCTTACAGCTCTGAATCTGAGAACCCGTTACCTACCCAGTAGCCCGTGGGAGTCGGAAGAGAGGCCTTTACTGTTGGAGATGTAGAACCCCAGGTGATCCCTCTGATACGGGGCTGGCTTCTTGTAATGGTGGATGAGGATGACAAAGCTGATAGTGTCTTGTATTGTCACAGTGACATTGGAATTGGCAGAGATGGACACCTCAAGGCTGCTGCTCCGCACAACGGCACTCCGATCACAGGACAGAAGAAGTCTTTCCCCATCATCCAGTATGATTCTTTTGGGTGTGATCTCTAGGTAAGACCTCTCTGGCTTATTGCTGAGGATAGTGATGGTGCTGAAGTAAGTCCGGTGCTTCTTGTGTCCGTTGGGTGGTGCAGGAGCTCCTATTAGTTGCCCATTCACAGTTACACCTTGCAGGAAAATAATCAGTAAATGAAAGCTGGAACCAAGAATAGGTCTGTTGTCTCAAATATATAAGCCTTGCAACTGAGGACATGCAGCTTCGCCATCTCATGTTCGATTATTTCGCCTACTAGTATTCAAAGCAGTATGGCCAGTCTGTTATAAATTGATTACCTTACACAGAACACCTAAATTTACCTAAGCTCAGAAATACTGGCCTTACCTGGAGACAGGTGCCCCCAGCCCCATTAGGCTTAACATTGTGTACACAGTGCTACAGGATAGTGCTCAGCTGCTCCTCAGCACAGCCACTTCCTAAGATCATCCAGCCTTAGGCCTACCTATCACCAAGGCAATGATGTGTGTGAGTTTAGAGCCACATAAGACAAATATTTACCTACCTGACTGCTATAGCCTGACCAACTGTAGTATGATTTGCCTAAGACCGCCTATTTGCTGATGCATAACTCAAACCTGGGCAAACATACCAAATCAGAAGGACGTGGACCTGTTGGAGCGGGTCCAGAGGAGGGCCACAAAAATGATCCGAGGGCTGGAGCACCTCTCCTATGAGGACAGGCTGAGAGAGTTGGGCTTGTTCAGCTTGGAGAAGGCTGCGGGGAGCCCTTATTGCAGCCTTTCAGTGCTTAAAGGGGACCCATAGGAAAGACGGGCAAAATCTTTTTAGTAGGGCCAGCTGTGACAGGACAAGGGGTGATGGTTTTAAACTGAAGCAGGGTAGGTTTAGACTGGGTATAAGGAAGAAATTCTTTACAATGAGGGTAGTGAAACACTGGAATTTGTTGCCCAGAGAGGTGGTGGAGGCCCCATCCCTGGAAACATTCCAGGCCAGGTTAGACGGGGCTCTGAGCAACCTAATCTGGTTAAAGGTGTCCCTGCTCGCTGCAGAGGGGTTGGGCTGGGTGACCTCTAGGGGTCCCTTCCAACCCAAAACATTCTATGATTCTATGATCTTGGAAGAATAAGAAAAGCTGCTGGCAGGCTTGCTTTTCCTCATATCACCAACTGGCATAGGGACTGAACTTCTAAGAAGCGGACCTGGGCGTATCTGAATGCTGCTGTCTCAGAGTATCTCAGGGTAGTAGCCAGTTGGAGGTTGATGTTCCTCTCTGACTCCTAGAAAGAGAACTAGCCTGGGAAGCCAGAGAGTAAGGGTTACTACACGTTGGACAACATGCATTTTAGTGATTTTTGTGACTTCCTGTCCTTAATACAGTGTCTCACTTCCCACAGATCTCTGACCAGCTACTAGACAGTTACAGATAAAGAGGAGATTTGTGGCTAACCCAAGCTAGACCCAAGCCATCAACACCGAGATAAAATATCTCCGTATCCCATCATTGCTGATGGAATCTTTAATTTCCGTCTTCATAACCTCAACTTGCTAGTGCTACAGAGTCTGGTTTTCTCAAGCTCATTCCACATTTGAGCCACAGAATCACTCAAAGCTGTAGCACAAACAGTTGCAGTCTGTCAAAGAAGTTTAAGGGAAACATTGCCAGGAGCTGGATCTTATTTACTAAGACAGGCATAAACACAGAAATATGGAGGCTAGACCACTGCCATGCAGAACAGAATCCTTATAACTTTATTGTGGGATTGTTTATCTTCTTTGTAAAACAAGTCTGTGCACTGTCTCTGGTTTTGACACCCTTTCTTCCCACTATTTCCCTGCTCAGGACATAATCTGCTTATTAGCTGCCCTGCTTAGAATTCCAGATTGGATCAGACCGCATTCTGGGCCCCTAGGGATCAGACTGGCTTGGGCAAAGCAGATCCTGAATCATGTGGGTTTGGTGGTCCCTTCCCCACAACAGCCTCGGTCCTTGGTCAGCCTGTTTGGATGATTTGCTCTGTCCTGAAGCAAACAGTAAGTAAAAAGTGAAGTTCCAATAACAGAGCAATTTTGGCGAGTCCAAATCTTTTATTTGCATGTTGTGACTTTGTAACGAGAGGGCTGATGAAGTTGCACCATCAAAGACAGACACTGTCACGACACCAGAAAGCGGAATCCCCTGCATAATCTCAGCACGGTGGTGGCTGTATGGCTTACACAAACACTCAAACACTACATGCAGTATGCAGAATGCCTGTGGCTGTTCATTCAGCTGTGGCTGTTGTAGCACTGATCAAGTGCAACCCCCAGACCATACGCCAGGAACTGAGCTCTCCAGTCCAGCAATGGGGTCTTCATGCACTCAAGCGGGTCTCTTGGCTGTTTACATGTAATTGCTGCTCCCTTGATTCCAGTCAATGAAGACCTGAACTAGGAGAAGTTTGGATACACGTAAAGGCTTGTTCTTTATGGTTAGGTCTAATCCGTTGACGAACACTTCTGTAGATGAACTGTGCATGTAACAGTGGCCAGGCCTCCCCCTTGCTTAGGCTTGCTGTGAATTTACCCATAAACTATGATAAAGTTGGAGGTCAGTAAGTGCACGTGAACAGTTCACCTCCCCTTCTAATCTGGGTGATTAGAGCCGGAAAGCTCCTATACAGCAATTTTCCATTGCCTGGCCATGAAAAGCAACTTTTTTTCTAATTTCCTGCCACTTTCTTGCCTATGTGCTTAGTCTTCACTGCTAGAGAGCTGGCCTTGCACTTCAGCTTTTCTCCACAAGCTGCTGCTTTGCTTGGCTGCTCACCTGATTCCTTATGATCAGAGACCAGTCGGAGAATGTCTCCTGGTTCGCCATCAATATTAAAGCAGACAGAGAACTTGCTGGAGGGAAAATCAATGACAAAGTGAGGGTCTCCATCCGCTGAGAAGATATGGAAAAAGAGACAAACGTGAGAGACTTACATAAAACTGCAGTGTCCAAGAATGTAACAAAACTGCTTTCGAAGTGTGTTTGTCCCTGTTTTTTCTAAGACAGCATGGTTTATTGTTTTTAGAGGGTTGGATGGAATTTGCCAGGAAACACCAAGTTTTGCTTTGTTTTTCACAAGGATTATTTTATTTTGTTTGGGTTTTCTCACAGAAGAGGTTGGGCTTTGATGAAAACTCAAAACGCAAAGCAGTTCAGGTGAAAATCAGGATATTTTCTTCCTGGAATATCATTTCAGTGATTTAAGGGAATTGTCACGCAGGTGTTTTATACTCCTCTATACTCTGCTGGGAGGCTACAGCCCCCACAGCACACAAAAATGTATCCTCTAATCAAGGGCCGATGCACGGGCACACTTCACACTGAACCTTCCTGGTCCTCAGTATCAGATTGGAGCAGTCAACAGCAGACTTTAAACAGTCCCATCACCTTAATTTTTCAACAGTCCTTGACCTATCATCAACTGACAGATAGTTGTTATTAATAATAAGGCAAGCCAAACCCCTAGCTTTTAAGGTAAATTCGACCTTATCCAGTGAAATTCAAGTCTAAACTCTTGATCTGGGCTTATTCGTCAGTGTATAAAAAGGATGTTAAGTGAGGTGCAGAACCAACAGAGAAAGAGCAAAACACTATAAAATTTTCTTTTTTTTTTTCCTTCAGCAACACTTTCTGTGTTTCAGCAACATTACTTTATAAAATGGTTCTTGATTAGTTCTCGTACAGAGAGAACATGCTTCCCGTTCTCCCCTAATCTACAGAAGTCTCAAACATGAGGATCAAGTGTTGTAGATCATCCTGCTCTAGGTGAACCTGCTTTAGCAGGAGGGTTGGACTAGATGATCTCACAAGGTCCCTTGAACCCTTGCCATTCTGTGATTCTGTGATTTGCCTTGCTATGTTTCCTCACACTTCTCATTACTGTTCCTCTCTGTATTTTGTTTTTGTTTTCATTTTCCTCCCTACTGTGTGGGTCCAGTAAATAGGATTTTGGCTGATCTGTCAGAATGGTTATACCACAATGGCATGCAACTGAGGTTTCCATAAATCAACCACAATTATTCTGAGTTATTAAAGGCATGAAAACAGGCACTGACCTGAAGTTCTGGAGATTTTAATTCTGTGTTTATCTTCCTGTCTGCGTATACCTAGAAGTGGGGAAGGAAGGCTGTTACAATTACTTATTGCGCAGCAAAGAGAGTCATAGTATAATAATGTTCCCAAAATATTATTCAGTGAGATTATGTGACACATTCTTGCAGCTACTTTGAGCTTCACTTAGAATGCCAATTTTTTTTCAATAGTTTCTACAGAGCTGCAAGTGCTTCCAGAGTGTGAGTCAGGTGCCTAAAAGGTTTTGCTCAAGGTCACCCAGCCCACAATTAGCAAAATCAATGTGAAAATATCAGCTTTTTGTTTACCACCCCTTGGTTCATTGGCTAGATCATCCCTGTTGCCGAAGTTAGCCATGAGGCATTACCTATGTAAAAAGATTTCTTACCAGCACATGGTTATTTTTCCCCTCATACCTGGTGGTGCCTTGTGTCCCTGCAGGCTCTGCAACTTCTCACCGATGCCATCGGTAGAAGGGCTGATAAACTCCTCTTGAGGTGGTTCTGAATGGAGCCCAGCCTCTCTCATCTTCAGAACAGTGAAGGGAGTAACAAAATTGTAATTCAGGGCCATTGACTTTGCTTTCTGCATCAAGTAGTCTTTTTCCTGATCATCATCACTCTTCAACCGGGAGTTAAGCAATTCCTTGATGGTGAGGTAACTCCATGCCCTCTCAATGTAATTTGTATCACCTTTGCCATCTTCCAGGCGGAGGATGTACTTCTTGGAGTTGCTAGCAGTCACCTCCACGTGGAGACTATCTGAGGTGTGGTTGATGAGTTTGCCAGCTATTATAATTTCAGAGCCATTGAAGTAGTTAGGGAAGAAGTTCTGGGTGACTTGCTCCACATTGTCTTCAGGGTAATCAACACGGATGTCGGAAAGAAGGGGTGTTCCTATTTCATCATAGAACCTTAAACAAAGACACATTTCTCACTATTAGTACTGTTCATCCAAGTGTATGCATGCACTCTTGCCCTTATACATGGCCAAGGATACAGTTAGATTATCTAACGTGGCTCCTAAGACATTCAGGAGCAATTAGAGCTACCAGGCCCCAAATTTAACTACTGCATCCACTGTAAATGGGCCCAGAGTGATGGGGGAGTCTCTACCCTTAGAGATTTTCAGAACTTGAGTGGACAAGGCCCTAAGAAACCTCACCTAAATTTGAAGTTACCTCTTCTCTGAGCAGAAGGCTGGATTACATGACCTCCAGAAGTCCCTTTCAACCAAAATTATTCTCTGCCTCATTTTAGTTTTCACTGTTTCTTGGGCATCTAAACAGAGTCTCTTAAATATGTTCAGAAGCATCCTAGCATGGGATGACAGTCACCTACCTTCCACTATGATTCCAGAGCTCTGCAAGGAGATATTTGTGATCCCTTAAGTTTGCTTAAGAGGACCTGTCCATTAAAAGTAAATTCTTAATTCTTGGCTTCTCAGGCTCACAGAAAGCACCCTAGTTATTTCAAAATGTACTTAGAAGAGATGCTGTTACCCACAGTTTTCTAGTGGTATTATGCATGGTATTCCAGAACCAGAAAGAGTAAGACCAAGATGCTAGGTCCCCCAAAGCTGGAGAGTATCTGAGCCAAAGCTTCTGTATCACTGAAAGAGCCCTAGATACTACCTTGGGGATGGTCCGTGTAGGACAAGCAGGGATACAGTTTTCTGAGGGCCAAAGGAGAAAGAAAATCAAGAAGGAATCTCACTGTGCCCCTATAAATGAGGACATTTCCAAGGAATGGAGGAATTCTAACTACTAAATGCAGGTGGCCTGGCAGAAGAGAACTCACTGCTACCTTATTGCTGACTTTCCTGTTGGAGCAAGACATGGCTTCCGTGGAACGAGAGAGCTTAACCCTATAACACCTTTTTAACATGACCTACCATACTTCTGAGAATACCTCGCACTGGACAGGCCAGAAAGCCTTTGCCAAAGGTCAAGGCCTAAGTTCACAGTACTTGTGTTTTCCCTGCAGCAATGTGCTTTTGATGGATCTTCCCAAGCTGCTCCAAGAATGCCATATTTCCCATTTAAACGCCAGACTCCTCACCCCTTGGCAAGTCATTTGAGTCTAATTTGGTAAACAAACAAAGAATTGGCCTCAGCCCTTTTTTAGTTCAAGCTGCGTTTATTTTTCACATCTGCTTAAACAGATTGTCTGGAAGCTAGAGTCACACTTTCTGTTTTATTCTCTCTCCAAGGAAACCCAAAGCCTGAATTGGTTGACTTTCTTTTGAAGGCTGTCTGAGCACTCAGTGTCTTTGATGCAGAGACCTTGTCACATTTTAAAACATGAGTGAATGAAACCTGAGAACTCTCTGCGAAATAACTCCTGGGTTGTAACAAGTGGTGGGGTGAGAGATACAACCCGTCTTACAATACAGTGCAAGGAAGTACCTGTGTAAAAAATACAACCTACTGACCGCAAAAATCAGAAAATACATTGGCACCCATGTAAATTTTCCCTCCAACAGTGATTTGAATTGGCCTTCAGCAACTGATTGTGCTTTTCTGTATAAATTTGGCACCAGATGCCGAATGGGTTTGCCATCACTAAGCTTGATAAACAGTGAGCTGTTCATCAGATGGAGGTGTTTGAACAAGTAGTTGCGGTGCTGGGTTCCTGCAGCCCAATCAGTCAGCACATCCTTCATTTGCCAGGGAATGCCACTCGCTATCCAAAATGCATGTTCTGAGAAGCAAATGACATGGGCGGAGCGGCAGATGGGTCTACAGAATCTGGTTTAAAAGGAACATATTCTTGTCGTGGTATAACCACAACAGAAAGAACAGCTCTAGCGGAAAGTGTGTGGTCTCATTGCTCCATATAAATTAGACACTAGCCAGGCAAAATGAGAAGTCTGCTCAATGACTGTCTCTTTTTGGTTTCTGAGGTTCAAAATGCTAACATTTTGGGAGTGAAAGCCAAATATTTTTTCCTGCGCATGCTGACACACTGCCTGACATTTTAAACAGAACTGTGGTTCAGATAGACATTAGGAAAAATTTCTTCACTGAAAGGGTTGTCAAGCATTGGAACAGGCTGCCCAGGGAATGGGTTGAGTCCCCATCCCTGGAGGTATTTAAAAGCCAGGCAGACAAGTTGCTCAGGGACAGGGTTTAGTGGTGGGATGGCAGGGTTAGGGTAACGGTTGGACTTGATGATCTTAAAGGTCTTTTCCAACCTAAATGATTCTATGATTCTATATCTTTCTGCTGTTCCTCCCTAGGGTCTTCCCTTGGGCTACAGCTCCCCAGTCTCAAAAGACGAGCATAACCTCTGGTCCTACTGAATGATGAGGATTACAGGAAGCTTGCTAGGAGTTTGGGTCACAAAGAATGAGGGAATTAAGTGACTATATAATCATCCCAGGAATGACCCTTGTGTATTTTTCAAAGTCAAATATTTTGGAGTTTGAGCAAAAGGTTGTAGTTTTCAAAAAATAAAGAAATAATTTTCTGCCCCAAATTGGGATCGTCATTCCTGAACCCCTCCATGCTGTTTATGTTGTCAATTTGAAGTGAGCAATGTATCCTCTCCTCCCTCAGTCCACCTGTGGAGAGGTGGCACTCATGCCTCCCATCTCTCCAGGTTTACATGCCCAAATCAATGATCTGAGATAAAGAAACAAATGCCTTGTTCTGAGGGGCTGGGAAGCTCCAGTACAGCTCAGGGGGTCTGCTAGGAAGGAGACATTTCTGGGTGGGCATCCTCAGTATCTGAGCATGCTCTGCCTCTCTCAACCAGAGCTGAGCCTCAGAGAAACTCCCATCTCTTATGATGTCTCCTTAGAAGATCTTCCTTCCCAAAACCCTTGTGCAGAGGACCCAACACAGATATAAACACAGAAAAAGCAGAACAAACCCTTTGAGGTGGCTGGCTGCATCCTCATCCTCCTGGAAATGCCTCGTCATGCCACAGTTCTCCAGTGCCATCCTCTCCAGCAGCTTGTGGTCCACATCATTGCCAATGCCAATGGTGAAGAGGCAGAATTTATCACGGATGGCATCCTTGGTGTTGCTGAGGATTTTGGACGACTGTGTTTCCCCAACAGTGGGCCTCCCATCCGTGAGGAAGATGATCAGAGACACGCTCCTGGCATCAATGTCATTCTGAGCAATGTAATCATTTAGCAGCTTTGCACCAGTCTGGAGAGCACCATTAATATTAGTCCCTGGGAAGGTACCAAAACGATTAGCTCATTTCTCCTTCTAAGAGTGGTACAAATAATTTCCCTAAGCTCCCTTTAATACAATGACAGCATCTCTATTCACCAGGATGTTCTTTTTTTCTACATGAGGTTGCACTAGCCCTTTAATTCAGTTCAGCTTTGTTACTCAACACCAGTTTGGGATAGCTGTTTAAAGTCTTATGAATTGAATCAGGAATTGCAGTTTATTATTTAAAATCGCTGTATCCTTGAATGTCTCATGTCAAGCAGAGTCATAGCACATCTCATGTCCTGCTGGTAAATAGAGAAGTAGCTAAAGTTAATTACAGGACTCTCCCAGATGATATCTGAACTAGGGAAAAAAGTTCTGCTCATTTTGCCTGAAGGGCACAAGATTTGAAGAGAGGAAAAGAGCCTTCAAATGGGAAAACAAGTGGCTGGGTTTGTTATTCAAACCCCAAGGGCTAACAAAGTTTAAAGGGAAGAGAAATGGCTTTGTTAGCTGAGGAGTGTGTTTTCACAAAACAACTGGCTATGGAAGAATGGAGCTGCCTGAAGTGGGGAGAGAGGGAGAAAACAGAAAGTAAATGAGGGAACAGATGTACGTTAGAAGACTAGCCATGAAAAGTATCCAAGTCTACCATGTATTCAGAAAAAAGAAAGCAGGAAGATGTTCCATGTAATTCTTGTGCTAGTCAAAGCAAAGAGGGGTTGGTTGTGGAACCTTTGCAAGGTCAGTACACTTGGGTTAACAGCTCTCGGAGAAAAACCAGGTAAAATGGGTTACGAGCCATACAGGACAGACTCCTGGGGGGTCCAGAAGGGGAGATCTGGGGAGGTTATCAGCAAGGATGTGCTAGCAGGTCAGACCATGCATCGTGTACCTAGAAACTTAGCGTGCACAGCTCCCAGTGACTGCAGCAAGACAAGGAGCAGGAAAGGGGCTAAGACTTCTGAAAAGGCCTCAAAATCCAGACTGGTTTTTTTGCAAAATGGTTTTGAACCAAACCCCTGCACCTAAATACCCTAATACTCTTTCAGTCTCCACCCAGATCCAAACCTTCAGAATTTTTTCCCCAGAAACAAAAGGAAACCATCCCGTGTGGCAGACAGTGTAATTTCAAACCACAGAAGCCCTCAAGCAGTGAAAACTGCCTTTGGCCACATGCACAAAAATTTAGCTGCAATATTTTGTTCCCATTTCTTTGGTGTGTGAGTATGACACAGAAGCGTAAGCACCACAGGTTCGTGTGTGGTCTGTGAACCTGAGTGCATTCATGTTCACTGGAAGATACTCAAGCAACAGCACCTTTATAGGGAAAACGCAGAGTTAGCCAAACCTAAAGTTCCGTTGGCCTGTGGTGGAGAACCACTGCACCTTCCTGTTGAACCTGAGTTAATCATTTCCTTTTACTTTTGTTCTCTAGCAGGTTAATAGGCAAGCTCAGCTGGTTCCTGCCCAGCTCTTTTGGCACTTCAGGAGTGAAAAGTTTTGTGCTCTGAGTTTAGTCCCACTATTGGTAATTGTTTAACTGGGCAGATCCCTTGACCACTTCCTAAACTCTTCCTCTCACAATACAAACAGTACGGCAAGCCATCCTGTTTGCTGTGTTTTTCCATCAGAGAGTTTCCTTTCCTAGGAGTGGTCATGGCTCAGGGGCAGCCATGGGAAGGCTCTGTCTGACCTTCAACCAGCTGTGACTGCTTGCATGGGGAAGGATTTGCATAGCTCATTTTGCAGCTCTCCTCTGCTTACCTGGGAGTGCTCAGCTAGGATGAGCATAGCTGCCAAAGTCTGATTACAAACCTCACTACATTTTTTTACGCTAGTGTCCATAGCCTCATAGAAGACCATTGAATTAAATTCAAAATCATGCCTGCACTCTGCCACTGTTTTGGGATCTCCTTCTCTCCCCTCTTCACTTCTTGCAACAAGTCACAAGCAAAAAAGGACAAGAAATTCATAAATGGCATTCTGGCTGCTCCGTGGTAGAGACAAGAATAAGACAGTACCAGGTGAGAAATTAGCTCGTGCAGAAGGCAATCTCCCAGCCCACACTGAGTTGTCCATCCCTGGAGTTTCCAGCCCAGACTAAACCATGTGCCTGCTTTTACACAGGCTTTCAGATGCTGCACCAGTACTGGCCTTGTGTGTCCTTCACCAGGATATGGTGTTTTTTCCTGTGTCCTCAAGAAATAACCTTGGGAACTTTCCCACTATAAGGGTCTCACCAGATAAATGGGAGAATGGGTTCAACTTGCCTTTAATAAGTATATCAGGTCATATCATAGAATAGAATCATAGAATCATTTAGGTTGGAAAAGACCTTTAAGACCATCAAGTCCAACCATTAACCTAATACTACCAAGTCCACCACTAAACCACATCCCTAAGCATCACATCTAGATGCCTTTTAAATCCCTCCAGGGATGGGGACTCAACCACTTCCCTGAGCAGCCTGTTCCAATGCTTGACAACCCTTTCGGGGAAGAAATTTTTCCTGATACCCAATCTAAACCTCACTACACCCTTCTTTGAGGTAGTGACTGGATCTGGGGACACCTTCCCATCACGTACACTGATGAAGGGCACATATCCTTCTGTCACATAACCCTGAGTGGAGGTGGGGAAGGGGTCCCCTTGTCCCATGACCTAAGTCCCAATGTCTTTTTATTGCTACTTTCTACAGGACCACATTCACCACTCTCCATTCTGTTGTAGTTAATAGGATAGCAAAATTAATCCCGTTCATATCTATGGATCATACCTCCAGTAGGTGACATGTTATGAATATACTTTTTGGCATCTCTTATATTATTTGGAGTAACTGCCACCAGCCGGTCCTGCTGCCAGACCTTTATTCTGTTGGAAAAGCCAATGATATTGAAGTGGTCTTCAGGCCTTAGGTCCTGGAGAATTGTGAAGAGAGCTTCTTTGGTCTAGAAACAGAAGAGAAGAGACCGGTAGGCACAACTGTCACTGCTTTAGTGGGCAAGAATTTAATTCTGAAGATGTTTACTGATTTTCTAGATATTTCTACACTGCCAGTTTGGCTCATGAATAAAATTGGGATGTCCTTCCCTGTCTCAAAGCCTGATCTCTGTGGTGCCAGGTGCTATGCAAATATAAGATGAAAGAACAACTCTTGCCCAAAAGATCTTGCAAAGCTGTGAGACATATACCTGGACCTAACTAAGCTTAAAACTCATGCATGACAACTAAGATAAAAGCTCCCAGTGACTCGGAGAACCATGCCCTGAACTAAGGGATACTGAATAACGTTGACTAATACCAACAGTCTCATGGAGTTCTTCTAAAGCCCTCTAGACTTGCAGTAAGCTGGTAAGTGGCATATGGTTAAAAAGGTTACTTGTAAGTTGAAATACCTCTAAAATGTTGAGAATACATACACTCAGTTCATAATTAGGATACTGATTGGTATATACATACTCCAATGAATAGTTCCAGGAATTAACAAATGTTTAAGCTAATACATTCAGATTAATAAGATACAAAAAGAAGCCCTGACTAGTCATTGCAGATTCTACCTGCTAGTAAGTTTTGTCCCAGGCATGTTTGGGGTTTTTTTCCCATTATATTGCTCTGCTGTTCGTCATCCTATGTAAATATAGGCAACCAGACTGAGGAAAGCTGGTATGAAGATGAGTTCATAGTGAGAGAGGCTAAGGTTCCTGGGTGATGGGAAATACAGAGAACTGAGGATAAGCCAACAGGAAGAGTGCAGATGTATCCAGTTTTTCCCAGTGTGACAAACTGATTTAGCAGCCATGCAACTCCGTTGTCATGGAGACAAACTTCAGCTTAGTAAGACCAGCTGAGAGAAGATGCCCAAAAGCAGCCTCTGTCCATGCAAACTTACCCTATATTTGGATGCAAAACACATTGGAGGAATACAAGGCAATATCTGTAAGTAGAGGGGTCAGCAGCTTCTCAGCTCTGCCCCTTCTTGGTCACCATTAAGCCTTTCAAATTCCAAGGAAAGTTATGCAGAAAATAATATGGTGGACACATCAGCATTTAAAGGTTTCTCGCATGCCTATCCAGGAAATATGGGAAGGGCTTGTCCAGAAAAAAAAAAAAAAAAGGTAACCAGCAGTGCTGGAAACCACATGTTTCTAGGCCTGATGTTGCTATGTATAGGCAGTTAGGAAAGGAGCTCAAAGGACTGATCAAACTGTGTCATCAATATCCCTCTGGATTCTGTATTAAAGCTGATGATGCAATGATGCAACTGCAAACAAATTACCCACCGCAGTGGAATCTCTAATCCTCCCAGCTGCTGACTTGGCTTCCAGTGCATCTGAAGTTAAGGGGAATATTTCCCACAGCTTCAATCATTTTGGAGCCAGGTCTGGAGTCCCTCCCTGCCTGATGCTGTCCTCTGTATAAACCATTTTCCTCTGTAGGGATCACGGGATTAATCCCTCCATTTGCTCAGCTGAAGCATTGCTCTACATCTCACCACCATGCATTTTACAAATGTTTCATAGATAAGAATACTAAACCAAATGCTGGTGGAAGAGGCTCTTTTCAAAGATAAGGGGAGAACCCCATTAGGTTCACACCATGATGTGCACCAATAAACCTTCAAGAAGTTGAGTGCCTGCCGCAAACATGAGGGCCATCTCCTCAGTCTAACAGTCCAAAGAGAATTTGCTAAGATGAGCTACATAGCATTACCTGAAAAAGAAGGGAAGGTTTATGTTCTCTCATCTCCTCTTTTACAAAAGCCTTTGTATTGCAAAAAATGCATCAGATAATACATGACATCACTCTTCAGAGGGACACTCAAACATTCACAGTCCCGTTTTACAGAAGTGAAAACCAAGGCACAGATTACTTTAGTAATGATGTCAAGGCCACAAGTGGAGAGCTTTCCAAAACTTGGAGTTTCCAGCTCTCAATCCAGCTCTCACACATGCACAGAAAGGCAAAGCAGCAATCACACAGTGGAGAAAAGGACTCTTGGAGACATTTCATGGTAACAAGAGTGGCCCGTGCATTTGTTCCTCAAAAAATGGGATCAAAGCCGGCAGAAAGTGAAAACAGAGAAGCTTCTATCCTGTGTGAGTGTGAAGGCCGGCTCATGCCAACCTCTGCTGAAGGAAATTTTGGGAAGGATGTTAAAGCAAGAAACAATGAGACAACAGTTGCCTATGTGCAACATCCTTCCTCCACTCCCCCCCAAGGTAGGCAAGGGAGAAAAACAGAGGTGCCTAGAAGCACAATTTGGAGAGAAACTCCCAAGTCTCATTATCCATATTATAGCTCTGATTATAATTAACATCCCTTGACCTTTCCCATTACAAAACCCCTCTTTTAAGTTTTGTGCAATTCTGTCAAACTGAACTTTTCTCAGAGGGATTTATTGGGCCCAAACAGCTCTGTTGTTTCTGAGAACAAGGCAAGAGGAAAAAATAATTTTTCTTTGGCCTTCTTGCAGAGAGAATGCATCTCACCTTCAGTGTGCTCAGAAATTCCTTTTGACATTCTTGCCTGTGTTCAGCCAAAAGAAAAGGAAAAGAAAAGGAGAAACAATGCAGAGCAGCAGTGTAGTTTGTGTGTACACAGCATCCAAGCTAGAATTGCAGAGGCATCAGGAGGGAACGGAAGCAGAACCCCCTAGAAAACGCAGCACTTCCCCACGCCCTCATATGGGGCCAAATGTGGGGCTGGGACCATCTCTCTCTCCCCTTCTTTCATTCTCTCTTTCCTGTTTGTCTCTTATTTTTGTCGGTTAAGTCATTTCCATGGAGTTTGAGTCAGTTTTTCCCCAGGAAAGGTTCTGTCATATTTTACTGCACAGGCACAGACAGCCTGGATCCTGGCACCTCTATCAAGTGCTCGTCTCTGCAATTAAAAAAAAAAAAAAACCAAACCAACTTTGAATTTGTGTAATATATATACAAACATATGTACAAGTGTGTGTACGTGCACACAGTTTTGCTCCAAAGCAAACAAAATGAGGGAGGCCATATGGTTCACTCTCCTGTAGCTTTTACCTCATCCCCAGTAAAAATAAAGGGTGGGATTCAGCTTTGTCATCAGAAAGCTGGGCATTGCATCTAATCCCTCTCTAGGCAGGGGAAGACACCTCCAGAGAGTAATCCATCCCATCTGTTTTGGATAGGCTTTAGGGTGGGCTGAGTCATTGTCTGGAAGTGTCTGTCTCCCAGCATTGCCTCCAAGAGGCTGAGTAGCTCAGCTATAGAGAAGGTGGGACTCACCTCAGGACCAAATCCTGCCCAGTCCTAAGCACTATAGTGCTTACTGGTGCCAAAAGTAGCTCAACTGGCTCTCCACCTCTCCCAGAGACCTCTGAATTGCCTTGCTCACCCCATGTGTTTCTCTCTCTCCTCCCAGCCCATAAGGACCTCCAGGTTTATACTGAAGGCTGCAGTCCTCATGAGGTGGCAACACACACTTTGCTACCAATATTCCTCACCCATAAATGGGCTGCGAGAGAGACATGACTTCCCTCCAGAGGGCTGGGTATGATTCAGGAGCTGGCAGGCAAAAGCAACTTTAAATAAGGAGAATATCTTGGTAAAAGTGCACTGCTTGAAATCCTTAAGTGCACAGCTATGACCGAGTGTTCTTGGTGCCCAGCCCTCTCCTCCAGTCTCCACCAGCCCTCAGGCAAGGATTTGCAAAGCTCTTCGTACAGAGAGTGCCTGGCAGCAGCTTCAGTCGGGACACCGAGCAAGTTTCTCATTCTGGCCTTGTAAGGCCACAGCTGGAACTTCTCCTGGCTCCGAGGAACCAAGGGCTGAGGCTGCCGTGGGATTCCCAAGCTGCTCCACTGCCGATGGGGTCTTTGCAATTCCATTCCTGCCTGGCTCAGTGAGTCATTGCACTGAAACTCCTGCCAAAGGCACTCTCCTGCAAGGCACAAAATTAACCATTTCTTCCTTGGGGAGGGCCAGATCCTTCCTCTACTGCTGTGCCTACGACACTGGTTCATTTTGGGGATAAGCTGGGCACAGATCTAACCCACTCACACCGAGGAAAACCAGTTTAAGGGTCCAGTGCCCTTGTATCAGGTGCTGTAAGGTGAAACACTTCTCCCAGTGTGTTTGCCTGGGTAGATGCATTTTGGTCTGGAGGGTGGAGCAAGGATTAAAGGAGAGGGTGGCAGGAAGTAACAATACAGAACAGCTGGGAGAAAAAAAAAACCCAAAACATTTTTGCCAGTTGGGAATGGTTTGTAGCTGTCAGAGACAAGTTTTAAATCAGGGTTTAAAAGAGAGTATCTTGGTGAAAGAACATTTGTTTCCCCCAAATTAGCACAGATGAAAATTGAGCTGAAAGGTGGAGGCTGAATTGCCACTCCAGTGTGTTTGAGTGGAGAAGCGGTGCTGGTGAATGAGCTGTCAGCACAGCTGGAACCTAGGACTTGAAACAGCCACCTCCAGGGCTACAAAACATCATTCCCCAAATCTGGAGCAGAAGAGTCATGGTCTACAGCTGAGGGCAGGTGGGATGACCATGGATGCCAGGGAGCGGTCACAGTTTTTGTCTGTGCTTCAGAAATTATGAGAAGCTGAAGATGAGCACGCACTCTCTAAATGACCAATGTGCAGGTAGTGTCTTCTCAAGCCTGCAAGCTCAGAGACAAGTCAGCTCCCAGCCACCACTCTGGTCTTCATTGTCACCTCCACACCAATACCTGGACATGCAACGCAACTGGTGCTCTTCGGCTTCTTGCTTGCTAAGGGCCCTGCATCATGGCCAAGATGATTCAGGGCTGTACAACCCCCAGCAGCAGCAGGAAGAGGAGAACTCCCTCAGCTACACTCCCATTCGGCTGTGAATTGTTCACCCTTGTACCTGGCCCTTGGGGCTAGCTCTGACAGATCCCACTTAGCTTAAACACTGATGGAGCAAAGCATGGGAAGAGACACATTCCCATGGGAGA